GGGAAGGGTATAGGATCCTTTCCTAGACCCCTCCGGATTGAAGTTAAGGCACCTATTTGACAATTCACACTAACGGTGAAGGGTCTTATCACTTGCCTAATTTCGACTCTATTATGGTTGTCTTGTGCCTTCAGCCCTCCCTTTTTGTCTAGAACTGTCTTAAGTTACTTAGTTCAATCGCTATCAACTTTTGGTAGGGGTATAAGGGTTTTTTAGAAAAATTTATAAAACGTGAAGGGTGTACCCCTCCGGATTTGTGTAATTTGCTAAAAACAATCTGAAAAAATTTTCTCGCTCGCTTTTCCGAAAAATTTCTGATCCTATTAGTAAGCTCAGCTAATTTCTGATCTATTGGTACCAAGATCAACTCGATATGATCAGTAGTTCCAAAGTTATTAACCAAAACGTCTTTTTTCCGAACTCAAAAAATTTTCTCTCTTATAGGTTCCGCCTAACTTTTTCCGCAAATCTGGTCCTTTCGACCTAAAATTTATTGATCCGAGCTCAGAAGGCCTATACTCTTCTAGTTCAATGCAAAAGACCCGATCTAAAACGCTATTGTAGAAAAAATTTGCGAAAAACTATGCTACCTGGACCCCTCCGGATTGATGAATCCACCAAATCAAACACGTTATGTTCGATTTCTCTGCAACCCGGAAGGCTTTCGGGTAGCGGATTCTAAGACTTGTAGATTCACTAGTGGACGTTGTCCGAACAACTATTTTTACTGTCCTACCTCAAAATTTTCAAAAAATTTTCCAAATTTTTAGTGTTTCTTACTATCAAAAATTGGGAAAATTTGGTTTTTGGTACCAAACTAGTTCCAACCACTTCCGAACTAAAGTTAACCGGTTCTACTTATTACAGTAGTGCAGTTACGATGTAACACACTAACTTAGCGCTTTTTTCCGTTTCAAAAAATATCGATATCTCAAAAATCGCGACTTGTGGGGGGATCAAAATATCGCTATTTTGACCCTAAAAACCGGTCTGTTTTCGTTGTTTTTCACTGAAAAATGATATAAGACTATTAATATAGGCTATATAAGTAATAATATTAGTAATACTATACCCCTCCGGGTTTGTTTAATCTCCGAATTAAGGTGCTTAACTCGGATATTCGCAGTTCGGTGAAGGGTCACTACAGTGCAGCACTGTCGAGCCCCCCACAGATTACTATCTTACTTTTTGTACCAAAAGGGATACAAAACTTGTTAACGATACCCAACAGTCGATTGTAGTTGTCGTTGAGCCTCTTCCTGTTGTTCCCTGTACTGCTTGCCGGATCGGTCTTCACCCCGGACCCTTCCGAATTGAGCGCAAATCAGCTGACCCTTCCGGATTGGGCGCAATTTATCATTAACGTGCTTAAATGCTCAAATAACCCTACAGTACAAGCCCCACAAACGGGCTACAAAAATGATCTTAACGATCCTGACTGATATAAATGCCTGTAACAACAATATATCTATCAACAACAAACGGGGGGGTTGAATCACATCTTGTCTGGGGGGATGATTTCTACTGATTTTTTACTTTTTTACTGTTTTTGGTTTTTTCGGTTATTTTTTATGTTTTTTGTTTTTCTTGGATACTATACTATTTTTTGTTTGGTTTTGCTTATATCTTTAAGTGTTTTTGGTCACAAACCACTCAGGGGATGAGGGGTTCGCGATTCCCCCCACCCTTCCTGGTTCGTGAATTTTCGGTCTTAACTAGGTTAAAAAACTATTCACGGCAATCCGGAAGGCTTCCGCGTTCCGAACTACCCTTCCGCCCCGGCGGTTTAGGCCTAATAAGGGCGTTAATGTGAGCATCCACTCGGCGCGGAATGCTCGTTAACGGTTCTGCCGGTCATGATGTTAAAAAAGAATAACACCCAGGAGCGCCATAAAAACATACATGTAACATTCGCCCGGAAGATACATATCGACGGATAACAAAACTAAGTCTTAAGACGACTGGCTAGCGTCTAAACAGAGCTTTGCATGTTTTTCACCGTCTCTACCAAGCCAGTACTTTTCGGTGGTCTTTCTTACATCAGGCTGACAAAAACGTTACTGTTCTCCGGCTTCGACCAGAACGCTCAAATTAACTAGATTACATGCAAAAATAGTGAGCTCATGGCTGGGTCTCAGTATCCCCAGACCACGAGGTCACTCCTAAAAACAGGGCTACTACTTATTATATTACTATTGTTTTTGTTCAGTAGATAAAAATCATCATCTCCATCGAAGATGGATCAACCCTTTCCCCTCTACTCCTAGCACCTCATCCTTGTCAAAACTAATCAAAATATCAGTTAAATTCAAGTCAGGACATGACAGGATGCTAAAATTCAATATAAGTTCATAAAAGTCCACGTCCCGAGACCCTTCCGGATTCTTGAATCCGGTGAATCAAGCTTCTTAATATCCAGTTCACAATAACTCGGAAGGCTGGGTTTTACCCTTCACCGTTGCTCGCAACGGCCTTGCAACTATTGTAACAGCACAATAGTTGCAACTCGGAACGTCCTCTGCTGTTCGGTAGTTCGTTGTTGTTTTTTTTAGTCTCGATTTCGTACTGTTCGTAATCGCAGATAAAGTTGTTCTGTTCCTTTCTGCTATTTTAGCTAAAATGGCCGTCTCTGACGTTTCTCAGAAATATGACGTCATAATTCGAATTTTTAAAAATTAGAATTCCAGAATCTTCTAGCCTTCACCGTTTGGCTAATCGTTCAAATAACGTCCTTATCCGTTCTAAATCGCCAACTCGGAAGGCTTGCTGCTAAAATACCGAATTCTGCAGAGACCGCATTTTGGCCATTCTGGTCGAATGTCACAAATCATTGCAACTCGGAGCGGTCTCTGTTAACTCTGCTTTTTGCGATTCTGATCTTCGATTTTTTCGTAGTTATCTTCGTCGCAACTATTGTTGTTCTGATTTTCTTCTGGTTTTCTTCCAAAATGGCGGTTTTTGTCGTTTCTCAGAAGTTCGACTTCTCAGTTCGAATTTTTAAAATTTCAAAATACCAGAATATCTTGACCTTAACCGTTTGACTAATCGTCCCCATAACGTCACTAATCTCTCAAAACTGTCAATTCGGAAAGTTAGCTGCTATCTATTCGAAATCGCCGAATCTGCATTTTTGTCCATACTGGTCGAATGTCACACCAGACTTCAGCTCACTATTTTGCATGTAACTAAGTTAATTTGCGCGATCTGGCCGATAGCCTTGAATAGTAACGACTTTGTCTACCCGATGTTAATGGACCACACATTGAACTGGCTTTGGTAGAGACGGTTAAAATATGAAGCCAGTCGTTTTAAAATCTAGCTTTCCGTTGGTATAAACTTCCAGGCGAATGTTACACCGGCTACCATAAAATAAAAATCGTTTTGTCAAACCATGTTTTAGCGGCATTCTGGTCGAATGGAAATTTTTCCACCCTCGTTTCGATCGTGTTTTTCAGCATAAGCGTTTAACGTCAAAATGGTATTTGCTCGGAGAGTTCGACTGCTTTTCTAGCGGAATAACACATGGAGACGGTGAAAACCACATAGGATTTGGTCTTGATTAGGGTTTAATTTCCGTCGTTGTGTATAGAGAGTTGCAAAAAGTTCGGACAGACAGAATTAATTAAAAAGAGCAATCGTAACATTTTGACAGATTTTTGCATGCAATTTCTTTTTTCATACAACCTTGAGACACAAAATCGGACTGAAAAACTAGATTTTGCATGCAAAATATTGCCAAAATAGGTCAATTGCTCTTTTTAATTAATTTTGTCTGTCCGAACTTTTTGCTACTAACTATACTTCCGGCGAGTGTCACAACTAAGTTGCTACTTTTTTTGTCTAAAAACGTAAATTTTCAGTTAGCAATATGAATAGTATTCTTCCTGATGAGCCAATAGAAATGAAGAAATGAACTGGGAGCAGTCCCATCAGAAGTATTTCTGAGAATCCACAACAACAACAACAACATACCTCATACGCTAAATGAAACATTGCAAACTTTGATATCAGATTTTAGTCAATTGGACAGTGAAGAGCAGAAGTACAACCTTGAGACACAAAATCGGACTGAAAAACTAGATTTTGCATGCAAAATATTGCCAAAATAGGTCAATTGCTCTTTTTAATTAATTTTGTCTGTCCGAACTTTTTGCTACTAACTATACTTCCGGCGAGTGTCACAACTAAGTTGCTACTTTTTTTGTCTAAAAACGTAAATTTTCAGTTAGCAATATGAATAGTATTCTTCCTGATGAGCCAATAGAAATGAAGAAATGAACTGGGAGCAGTCCCATCAGAAGTATTTCTGAGAATCCACAACAACAACAACAACATACCTCATACGCTAAATGAAACATTGCAAACTTTGATATCAGATTTTAGTCAATTGGACAGTGAAGAGCAGAAGTTGAGCAAACAAGTTTCTGAAGCTGAGTGTTCGCTTGACCACTCGAGTTCTGATGAAAATAAAGCAGTGACTTGTAATGGAACAGATCTGGACAGTTTCGGCAATGGCATGGTTGAAGATACCACAAGTGAGCGGTCCAGACGTTTGAGAGCGCAATTGCAAGCTATGCATGCTGAAAGGGATAAGATAAGGTTGCAGAACCGGCTTATTCTCTGTCGTTTGATGCTCATTAATCAAGGCATACAGGAAATCAAGAAGGACTTGAGCTCACCCGCTGAAGACGATGAACATAATAATCAAACTCAGATTAGCGAGGCACAAACTCCTAGTGGGGGATTATCAGTTGTTGATGAATACACAAGGAATTACGATGTTGCGGGAGCCGTCGAAGACTGTCATGCGTACGAAACGTTGAATATAGCTAACTACCAATCACTTCTTTCTAATTTCAATAAAACGAATGAGTTTGATTAAATTTTTTAAGTTTTTTTTGTGCAATAAATTTTTGATTATAAGTAAAATATTTTACCTATGCTTTGGTTTGCTTAAGTTTGAAATTTTCTAATCTTTTCTAATCGTTCAACCTTTTTTTTAGACATTTTTATGTCGGCAAGTATTATTTCAACCGGAACTACCACCCTTACAGTATCTCAAAAGATGGACTCTGTAGCCCTTGTTTCAAAGAAAGATTGGGGCTATTCGAGGGTTGAACTGTACCTGGACAATGTCATTTTAACTAATGACAAAATATCCCCAAGTCCATCTGAAAAAGACGGATTGGACTCCATGTCTGAATATGACTTGAGATACATTGGATGCGAACTGATTCAAACGGCAGGAATTCTTCTCAAGCTACCCCAAGTGAGAAAAGAGTCACATGCTTTCAAGACCATTGATTATTAATATTGATAAAAATCATTTAGATACATTTAGCAATTTATCATAAAAGTCATCACATATTTCTGTGTGTTTTCAGGTTGCGATGGCTACTGCGCAAGTGTTGTTTCAAAGATTTTACTACTTCAAATCCTTCGTCAACAATCCAATGGAGGTCTGCAACTAGCTGTTATGCTTATCTGCATTTCCCTTTAATTGTACTAGTTGATGTAATTCATAGTTTACTTAGATCTTCGCAATGGCTTCGCTCGTTCTGGCCTCCAAGATAGAGGAAGCAATCAGACGCAACCGAGACATTATAAATGTTTTCCATTACCTCAAACACAAAAGAGCCAACCTGTAAGTTATCATTTAAATACTCAACTGGCAACCTATTGTTCTTCGAAATGACGATTTAATCTTTCAAGCAATTTTTTGTAGCCTGACTCATTCATGTAGCCTGTAACATTCAGCTAAAATCATAATTCAAAGAATACTATTATAAGACATTGTCTACGTGTAAGTAGAATGTTGAAACATTCTATCATGTTGGAGGTATGATGGGAAAGTAGGTCAGTTTTTGTTGATTTTGCGCCTCAGTCTGCAAAATCTCAAAGTAGCAAGAAGAAAGATCAGATGTTGGGTTGTGCCTGGCTGTTGTTTTGTTTCGTTGTGTTGGATGTTGTTTCACACTTGTGTGACGTGTATTTTCAGTCCTCCAGAGCCTTTGATGCTGGATGGAAACTATCAATACATTAAGAACCAGGTTATTAAAGCTGAGAGGAAACTGCTGAGGGAGCTGGGCTTCTGTGTGCACGTAAAACACCCCCACAAGGTAAACAACTCTGTTTCTGCTAAACATATTCCCGGCATCTACTATCTTCAAAAGACCTCCCATAAGCTATGTCCAGTGGGGGCGTTTTGTGGGCATAGTTTTGGGGCGTTTTCTGAACTTGAATTTGTATAAAGATTCGTTTCAGTCGCTGTTTTTTTTAGATCAAAGGGTTTCTTTTAAAATCATCAAAGTGAGGAAAAAATACAAAAGTACGCTTTGTTTTCGATTATCCCCTTGAAACCTGGTTTTATCAGAGAGTTCCGAGGTTGCTAAATGTCAAACTGTGTGGCTATATTCAAAACAGGTTGTCTAGAGAATTTATTTTTACTGGAGGGTATTGCCGTTGTCTTTGGCTTTGTAGCTTACATCTCCAGACAATTGATTGAACCAGTTCTTTTTTTGGGGGTGGGGGGGGGGGTGGGTGATTGTTGAGGGTAATGACGTGCTTTGAGGTATTAGATGCCGCGTGTGTTTGAGTGAATAGTGGGTTGAAGCAGCGTGTCTGTGTATTTTCAGCTGATCACCTGTGTCCTCCAGGCGCTAGGGTGCCAGAGGAGGCGTGTCCTACAGACTGCTTGGTAAGTAATCATTCAATCAATCTTCTGAAATTATTACGGACTTCATTGTTTTGGTTGATCGAAATGACATTAAGGCAGAGCCGCACCTTTATTCCATAACCACCAATGATCTAATCAAAAAACCAATAGCCTCTTTCTATTTTACCTCGTAGGGTTTTTTGTAACCTGCTTTTTTACCTCTTTTTTTTCTATTATTTAGCGGAAATGCTAGTTTTTCATGTTCTTTTTTTGCTCTGTGTACACGCCCAGAATTTTTCGAAAAAGAGGGAAATTTGGAAAATTTTGGGAAGGATGCCTTCTGCTGAAATTTATTCTGTCGTTTTTGATACTGTTTCGGCTGATGCTCAAAGACTATAGCGGAAGACAAACTTTTTTTTTTCAGTTGAAACTTCGAAAATAAAAGTTTAGTTTCAATCACATGTTGCGTCCATTAAATTTAGTCACGTGTTATTGCAATTAAAATTATACTCAACAATAGTGTCAATAGAAAAGATTTAAATGATTCCTCGAACCGCGTCGATTTTTTAAGAAATCACCCTTGCGATAAGCAAGGGTATTGCAATCGGGTACTAGACTTTTTCTCCCAAAACTAACTTTGTTCACAGAATAGTCAAAGTTAGAAATGGTTAATTTAGCTTCAGTGCATAAAGAGTTCAAATTTCTTTGCGTCTTTGGCGCACTTGGTCTGAAGGGAACGAATGCGCCTCGGACTGCAAAATTTTGAGTTTGAATCTGACAGGACCTGTTTTTTTTACGGGAAATAATCCATTAAAAAAAACGGTCGGATTAGTTGTCATGTAGAGTTGTTTTTTTTCTAGCTTTTTTTTGAAAATCATAGTTGCTTTTATTGTTCTGATTTAACTCTGACTTCGTAATTTTTTAATCTTGACTTTGTATATTTACTTATTTTTTTTTCGCCGAAAAACTTAATTCTGCCCAAATTATTTCCGCCTATTTTTTACTGGCTTAGTGACCTAATTTCAAGTCGTTTCAGTGGAAACATTTTTACTGCTCATCTCTGGATCGAACATTGGTATAAGTTTTAATAGAAATTATAGTTCAGTTTTTCAGGACAACAATTTTCTTTCGGCTTTTTTAGCTTGATAGGTTTCGTCCTATATTTTATTGACTGATTGGCCTCATGATGCGTCTTTCGATGCGTCATGTAGCGTCGTTTGCGTGTGCATCTCTGTGGTTTTAGGGTAAGAGGGACCTAAAACTTCCTACTAGTCTCAAGTTTGTTTTTTTTTTCAGCTTTTTTATTTTCCAATTTTTGAGCTGAATAGATTTCAGCCTATTTTATAACGGTTTAGTGGCCCCATATTGTTTCTTCTGATGATAATTTCACAATCCATTGTCTTGGCATACTTCTAATTCAAACTAGCTTTAGATTTTTTGATAGATCGTTATTTCCACGTTTTCGGATTTATGATTTTTTTGATGTTGTATTGCAAGTGATTCGAAGCTCAGGTTCTTTTTCCCATGAACTATGTTACGCTTGCAAGTGGAAATGTCCATTAAACAGAACCATACTTTTTTCGCGTATTCAATTGATCCCTAAAAAAAGCTTCCATGATCTTTACCACTCTTGGTCTGGAGGCACGTGGTGCTTTTGCACCCTATGTCTTGGAATGGTCAAATTTAGAAATGCTTAGTTTAAGTTCAGCTTATAATGAAAACAATTTTTTCCATGAAAACAATTTTTTTCGGCTTTTTTTGGCTTGATAGGTTTTGGCCTATATTATATCGGCTGATTTGCCTCATATTGCTTCTTTGACGAGCGAGAAATGTTTTTTTTAAATAGTTTTTTTGGCATTTTTCACCATTTAAATGACTAAATAGCTTTCGGTCTCTTTTATATCGGTTAAGTGGCCTCATTTTGTTTCATTTGTCGAGGAAAAAAGTTTTCAGAGTGCCTTGTGGTTGAGGATGACTTTTAAACTTTGTTACTAAGTCTTCATAAGGTTTTTTCGGCTTTGTTACTGCTGGGTGATTTTTTTATCGATGCTAATTTAACATTTTATTGTCTTGGAATACTTGTTTCAAAATTAGGTTTATATTTTTTGATAGATTGTTTTTTGACGTTTTCGGATTTGACGTGTTCTATTTTTTTACTGGCTTACTGACCTAATTTCAAGTCGTTTCAATGGAAACGTTTTTACTGCTTATCTCTGGATCAAACAAAATGGTATACTTTTTAATAGAAATAATAGTTCAGTTTTTCATGACAACAATTTCTTTTCGGCTTTTTTGGCTTGATAGGTTTCGGCCTTTATTATATCGGCTGATTTGCCTCATATTGCTTATTTTGACAAGCCAAAAATGTTTATTTGGTTTTTTCAGCATTTTCCCATTCATTATTTTATTGGACTTAATATTTTTGGTCTCTTTTATATCGGTTTAGTGGCTTCATACTGTTTCACTCGTCGAGCAAATAAAGTTTTTTGAGTGTTTTGAGGTTGACTTATTACCATTTAATAAGTCTTCATGAGGTATTTTTGGCTTTGTTACCGCTGGGTAATATTTCTACCGATGTTAATTCAATGCTACTTTTTTAATGCTCATCTCTAGATCGAACAAAATGGTATAAATCTATTATATATTTAAATGCGGGCTTCACTATCTCGCCATGTTAAAGCTTTTTCAACGTATTATTTTTGCATGTTTAAGCTATATCGTATATTGCAATGGTTAAGAATTTTTCTTCGATTTTCCAATTTGATTTTACCGAGTTTAAATTAAGCAGCCCATATCGAATTAGGGGTTGCGAATTTGGCCTCCAATTTTGAATGCCCGAATCATTTTCATTTTAGCTAACGAGATAAGACGATTTTGGAGGTTTTTTCAAAAAATAACTGAAATTTCAAATGACAAAATAATTTAAAAAACTTGAAGTTCCCAACCCTGTAGTTGGGCGCTGTCAGTGTACTCTAAGGAGTTACAAATCTTGCCTCCAAATATGATTGTTCGAATCCTTGTAGTTTTCGAGATATGACGTTTTTTGTGGTTTTTTCAAAATTTTTCAGAAAATTTGAATTAATTAATTCTCAGAATTTGAAATTCCCAACCTTGTAGTTGGGTGCTGCCAGAGTACTCTAAGGAGTAGCAAATCTTGCCTCCAAATATGACTGTTCAAATCCCTGTAGTTTTTGAGATATGACGTTTTTTGTGATTTTTCAAAAAAATTTCAGAAAACTTAAATTATTATGTTTTTTTAAAATATGAAATTCCCAACCGTGAAGTTGGGTACTGTCAGAGTACTATCAAGGATCGCAAATCTTGCCTCCAAATATGATTGCTCAAATCCTTGTAGTTTTCGAGATATGATGTTTTTTGTGATTTTTTCAAAAATTTTCAGAAAATTTGAATTAATTATTTCTCAGAATTTGAAATTCCCAACCTTGTAGTTGGATGCTGCCAGAGTATCCTAAGGAGTAGCAAATCTTGCTTCCAAATATGACTGTTCAAATCCCTGTAGTTTTTGAGATATGACGTTTTTTGTGATTTTTTCAAAAAAATTTTCAGAAAACTTAAATTATTATAAGTTTTTGAAAATCTGAAATTCCCAACCCTGTAGTTAGGTCGTGTCGGAGTACTCTGAAAGATTGCGAATCTTGCCTCCAAGTGTGACTGCTCAAATTTTAGTAGTTTTGGTGATATGATGTTTTTTGTGATTTTTTCAAAAATTTTCAGAAAACTTAAATTATTATAAGTTTTTAAAAATCTGAAATTCCCAACCCTGTAGTTAGGTCGTGTCAGAGTACTCTCAAAGATTGCGAATCTTGCCTCCAAATATGACTGCCCAATTCTTTGTAGTTTTCGAGATGTGACGTTTTTTGTGATTTTTCAAAATTTTCAGAAAGTTGAAGTTAATTTTTTTTTCGAAATTTGAAATTCCCAACGCTATAGTTCGGTGTTGTCAGGGTACTCTAAAGAGTTACAAATCTTGCCACATGCGAATGATAAACGCGACTGCTCAAATGCTTTAAGTTTCCGAGATGTGACGTTTTTTGATTTTCTAAAATTTCTCAAAGAACTTATCTACAAAGAAATTCAAAAAATTTGAAACTACCAGCTTGATGAAGATACAACCTTATTGTCAGCGTACACCCAGGCGTCTCAAATCTTGCCTCCTAATATGAATGCTCAAATCCTTTTAGTTTCCGAGATAAGACGTTTTTTCTTTAATTTTTTTTTTTCGGGAAACTTAGATTTAAAAAAGTTCACAAAATTTTGGACTCCTTACCCAATAGTAGTGTGCTCTCAGGGACTCTCAGTGGTTGCAAATCTGGCCTCCAAATTTCTCCAGAGGCCCATTAAGTTTTTGAGATGATACTTTTAAAATGGGAAATAAAAAAAATTTAAAGTTTGTAATTGGGTGCAGTCAGAGTACACTAAAAGTTTGCAGATGTTGTTTCCAATATATGCGGTTTTCACTGAGTTGTCGAAAAATTTCGAAGCACCGAAGGTGCGTTAAACGCTAGTTTTAATAGAAATTTTAGTTCAATATTTCAATGACAACATTTTTTTTCGGCTTTTTTTGGCTTGATAGGTTTTTTTCCTGTATTTTTTTGGCTGAATTGCCTCATATTGTGCCTTTTGACGAGCAAAAAATGTTTGTTTGCCTTCTTTTGGATTTTCCCCCATTTATTGGGCTAAACAGGAGCATTTAAAGTTTTTTGAGTGTTTTGAGGGTGAGGATGACTTATTAACTTCCAATAAGTCTTCATGAGGTGTTTTCGGCTTTGTTACCGCTTTGTAAAATATCTACTGATGCTAATTTATTGCTAATTTCACGTTCCATTGTCTTGGCATTTTTTGGTTTCAGAAGTAGCTTTATTCATTTTCTTAGATCTAGTTTTTCGACGTTTTCGTTTTTTTTTATTTTTTCTTTTGTTGTATTGCAAGTGATACGAAGCTCAGCTTCGCCTCTGTATTTAAATTTCCGATAGTTGTCTTCTGATTTTTGAAACCTTTTTATGAAATCTTGAAATAATCTTTTTCCCATGAACAATGTTGCGCTTGCAAGGGCAATTGTCTAGTAATCGGAACTTAGACTTTTAGCGTAAACAATTGATCCCTAAAAAAACTTCATGCTCTTTCTCACTTTTGCTCTAAAGGTCACATGGTTGCTCTCGCACCCTATGTCTTGGGCATTGAGTTCCGGTCGGACCTCGTTTTTTTCAGCATCTATGAAAGTGATTTTTTCGGGAAAAATGGAATAGTCGGACCTTAGTTTGTCTGCTTAATTTTTGGCGGCTTATTTAAAAGAATGAATTTTTTCAGCTAAACAAGTCTTGCTCTTATCGACAGTCGAGAAATAACGTTTTCAATTTATCAACTCAGATTTTGAATAATTTTGTTTTTAAGAGTCGATCAACATAATTCAGACTCTTATATAGGTCGTGATTTTTGTTTTAATTTGTTTTAAATGTGTTTACGTTTAAATTTGATTCTTTGGGGCTTGAGTTTGCTTCATTTTAAAGTTCAATCGTTTTCTTGCTTTGAAGGGATGCAAATTCCACTATCGAACAGCAAAAGTGTAAAAGTCACGAAAAACGCGATCGATTTCTAGTTTCGGAAGTGGAATTTTATTTTCAGATTTCCCAGCGATTTCCAGTTTTTTCAAATAAATTGACCAGCATATGCCAGTGGAAAAAAATTTAATTTTTGATCTAGTTCTCTCCAGTTGAGTTGATTTTATCAACAAAGTGTCAATGTCAATTGTTTTTGATAATCAACTGACTTTCAAGCCATATATTTTTCACTTCTAAATTGAAAGTTGAAGTTTTTTCAAAAAAATAAGTCAAGTTCCTTTTTCTTGTTTCTTTGCTTCTTTCTGTTTCATTGACTCTTTTCCAACTGTCTGTTGAACGTTATTTTGTCAATTAGACAGGTTGCGATTAATCTTTCATCGGCTCAGTCGACTCGCTGTGTCGTTTGGAGGGAAAAATTGATCATTTAAAATATTTAAGATCGGTTGTGGTGTGAAAGTTCCAAGTTTTACAACATAATCTCTTCGAATTTTTTTTGACCGCATTTTTAAGTTTTTTTTTAGTTTCGTGTATTACCCAAGTCTTTTTGGCGTATTGACGGCTCGGTAAATTATACTTGCGCTTAATTAATGCTGGTGGTTGTGTTTTTTCCCATTTCTTTCAGGAAACGTTTTTCAATATTGTTTTCGACTTAGTAATTTCCATCTCGTTTGCTATTCGCTCGCTTGCATTGCTACGCTTGCCCTGAATCTTAGGTGGTGCGATGCTCGACTTCGCTTCTGTGTATAAATGACGACATTTCCTCAAATGTGTGGAATATGATACGTTTTTTCACTTAAGTCAATTTTTACTTGTGAACAGCCATAGACTTTTGTATCGAGAGCGTCCTAACTTTAGGGGCTATATCGTTGAAAGTCATGAAACTTCAACTTAGGGGCAAGTATCGTTTTAAGCCGTGGATTTGGTCTAACTCGTTGTTTTCTTGTAGCAGAACTATGCTCTCACCCTATACAGTTGAAGGCTTCTGTCTTCAACTGACATGACCTGATGACTGTTCCGTCGGCGGGCGGCCCCTCTCGTCTCGCTTGTTCGGCTCTCCTAAGAGAGGAGAGGAGGGGCTGGTGCTCTGAGCAGCCTAGACCGCCGGCTCAGAAGGTATACTATGCGACAGGCAGTCGGGCAACCAGGTGGTTCACTACGGTTTGCTTTCCATTACAAGGGAAAGAGAGAAGAAACTACTTGTGTAGCTGAATAAGAAGCCTCCCAATTTTAATTATCTTTATATGAAAATTTTGAAACACTTGGTCAAAACAGTATCAATAACTTATGTGCACTTTGCAAAATTGAGAAGAAAATCATGTATATTTAAGTGTCACACGGATGAAAAAATAATTTTAGGTGAATTTATTGTTTTTTTTGTTTAAAAATGGTAGTTGACCTTGAACTTCAACTTCACTTATGTTCGCTACTATGTGAATCCAAGTGTCTTTTCAGGCAGGCATCAACCTCTCAAACAAACCACGAGATGGCGCTAAACTGAGACGACCTCCAGTTTGATTGGAGTTGCCTTGCTATTTTGCTATTCAACTAAATTACAACTAATGTATTTACTTTAGCTTTAGCCCTGCAGCTTAATGTCGATCGATCAAACCAAACAATGTTCAACTTACTCAATCAATCAATCTTGAGTGGAGCAAGGTGAGCGTATAGGGGTGTGCATGTTGGGTTTTGTTCTGTTTAGGAATTACATGAACGATGGCTTGAGGACCAATATCTTCGTTCGATACTCTCCCGTCACGATAGCCTGCGCGTGTATTTATCTCTCAGCCAGGCAGCATAAGGTGCCTATTACTGTTCCAAATGGTTGAAAACTAATCAAAAGCATCCATTTTGGTCAATTTGTTTACACTAGCGAGTTTACGAGCATAGAGTATTAGCGCGAAACTATTTTTTTTCCAACCGAACTTACAAGAAGCTCATTTGTTGGCACTTATGCTATAATAATCACAATCTGTAGCATGGAAATTTCGTAGAATCTGTTCTCTGCTTTATTTGTGGCAGTGAACAATTAAGCGTCCGTGGCTGAGTGGTTAGTGCGTGAGAAGCTTAATATCTAGGTCGACGAACCGAATTCGACACAGTCGTATTTTTTTTTCATTAATTCGAGGCTTATTTCATTTTGCTTTTTTCTTTTTATAGAGCTGCGTTTTTGTCGTGTTCTCACTATGTTTGCGAAGCGCAGCCTCGCCTCTGTGTAGAAATACTAGGGTATTTTGGGATAGTACGCGGTGCGACACTAGGGAAGTTACACCGATGGAACGAAGTCTTGAAAAATGTTGGTTGTTAGCTTTTTTGTCTCAACTTACGAACAATATTGACTCAACTCAAGGTGATTTGAAGCGTCAATGAACGAAGTGAGATCACTTGTTTAGATCGAGGTTTTTTTTCTCTTTTAAGAGTCGATGAATCTAGTTCAGACTCGTAAATTGGTCGCGATGATTTTGTTTTTTTTTCCTTTTTTTCTGAGGAAAAGTCGTAAAATTTGTTCAAGCTCAAACTTAGTTTTTAGCGGTTTTAAAGCTGTTTTTCCGAAAGCTTTACGGCCATATATGCGTTTCTTTAAAAATTCATATAGACTTTTATAAAGATCCGATGATTTTATTTTTTTCAGGCAAAGTCTGTAAATTTGTTCAAGCTCAAATGTAATTTTTCGCGGTTTGACTTTCGATTTCTTGTTAAGTTTAGTTCATTTCTTTTGTTAAAAGAAGGCAGACTTCACTATCGAACAGCGAAAGTGTAAAGGTCACGAAATACATATCGACTTCTACTTTCGAAAGAAGAATTCAATTTTCAGATTTCCCAGCGAAATAAAAAATTTACCTATCAATCCAGTTTTTTCAAATAAATTTAATTTAGTCAAAAACTGTCATCATAAAGTTGTTCAAAGGGCTTTAAAGCCATCTATATTTTTCTGTGAATTGCGAAACTCTTTTCCCACTGTATATTGGCGGTTTTTTTTTCGGAAAATGTTATGGAGTTGATACTGCTAAAATTTACTTATTCGCATTTTGACTAGTATTTTCTCTTTTTTTGCGAGAGCACAAAAAACTTGTAATTAGGTACTAAACTTTTGCGAGAGACTTGTTGTGCGAGAGACTTGAAATTAGGTACTAAACTTTTTTCCGCAAACAATTTTTTCCGTAAAATCTGTTGAAAATTGAACTTGCTACTTTATTGAATCTGCATTGAACCTAATTGTTTTTGCGGCTTACTTTTCGCAGCATGGATTTTTTCTTCTAATTCAAAGATTTCTAACTATACCTGAAAAATGTTCTGTTATTTGTGAATTTAGCTACTCGGATTTTGAAAATCGAGTTGACAGATTTTTTTGTTTGCAAGTTTTTTTTTTCACTTTTTCCTAAGTATTCATTACACTTGCGGGTCTTGTAATCGGGTATTAAAGTTTTTCCATAAACAATTTGTCCTATGCATCTGTAAGAAATTTAAGGTGCTTTAGTAGGGCGGTCGCCTTTGCACCTTAATGACTGGGTTTCGAGTCCCCGCCGAACCTTGTTTTTTTCAGTATGTAAGAAATAAGAATTTTTTTCCGGGAAAAAATAATTGTCGGACTTTCGTTTGTCTGCTTATGTATCGTCGGCTTTGTTACCATATCATGGGGTTCTTCTTGAGATGTAAGCATATTTTCTAGTACTTGGAAGTGCTGTTGTGCACTCCTGCATTTTGTAAATTTATTAGCCCTGACTTGGTGTATTTTCCTTTTTTTTTGTTATGATTTTTTATTGTTTAAAAGCCTCGTCTAACTGTTTATCGGCTTAGTCAATTTGTTATGTGTCGTTTAAAGTGCAAAAATGTATAGTTGTTTTGAAAAAAACATCGGGTGGCTTGTGGCTTAAAATTTAATTATTTATTTTTATGGCTTTTTTGTTTTTGGGCTATGGGTGTCTTCCCAATGGGCGTTTTCGTTGAATGGGCCTCTTCCCACGTATTGACGGCTTACTGACTGCTTGGTAAAGACTGAATGCTTATTCAATACTGGTAGTTATGTTTCTTCGACTGTTTTTCTGACAATGAATTTCTAATTTTTTTTTTTTTCAAATATTTTTCTTTGTTTTTTTAATTGTTATTTTTGCCTCTTTTTCTTTCTAGTCGCTAGATTGAAATTCTACGCTCGCATTGTATTGCAAGTGATGCGAAGCTTAGCTTCCGCTTTTGTGTTCATTTTTTGACGCAGTGGTTTCCGTCTCATTTTTTTGGCAGCTTGCAACGCTATGCTTGCGTTTAATAGCCTCTGTTTTAAGTTCTCATTAATTGTAAATTGAAGGCACATTACGCGATAACGTGAATAAAGGCAAAAAAAATTGAATAACTTTGATTTAGATAGTGGATTTTTTAAAAGCAAGAGTATTTCAATAGCATGTGACGTATCTATGCACAAGCGAGCTAGCGATGGTAGTGTTATATCACGAAGCAACTTATCATATAATGAAAATCAACAAAATAAATCGCAAAATGAAGTGCTGAATTTCATGAGCGGCCGGCATAAAAGCATGTATCTTCGTCCGCTTTATTAGGGAGATCGCGTGTTGCTTTTTTTCAGGAAACATTGACGTTACTTTTTCTTATTTTTTCGTAGTGTGCGTTTTGTTTTCTTTCTAAGTTAATTCATTTTTTTGCCAAAAGAAAGGGAAGTTTTGCTCTCGAATAAAACAAAATTTCAAATAAAGCGATAAATGCGAATGGCTACAGGTTTTCAAAAAAGGATTTCAATTTTCAGGATTACCTGTCAAATAGTAAGTGATCTATTGATCCAGTTTTCTCATATTGGGTTAGTTCCGTCAAAAAATTGAAAAATCATAAAAAGTTCGTGAAATTGGTGATATATATTTTTGTTTGAAACTAAAAAGATTATTTGTTGTATCCTTGTTCATTGACCTTTCCAACTATTTGTTGGCTATGGTTTTGCAAATGATCATTTGACCCAGGTTGATTTGGTAGAAGTGATTTTGTTTATAAGCAACCTTTCGTTTTTTTTGTTTTTTTAAGTTTGCTAAAAGGAGCGCAAATTGGGATTTCTTTTTTTAAGGCTCACATTTTAATTGAGAAAAAACTCACTTAGAATCATTTGGTCATTTCTGTGGTTTCGTCAACAACCAGTGATGTTTTGAGCAAGTCTGCTTTTTAAACACCCTTTCTTTTCGAAATTTGTTTGTTGTAAATTCACCAAGTCAGATTGGTTTTTTCAGATGTTCGTAAAATCAGTTTTCTATGCGCTTGTGTGTTTGGGTGACATAGAATCTCGACTTTTTTTAGCGACCCAACTGGGGTCTGCTTAAGTTTTTTTGGCATAGTTACCACAGGTGCGTAAGTTTTGTTTCGATGCTAACTCAACATTGGCAGTTGTCTTAATTGGCATGTTTTCCTCAAAATGAACATGTAATTCAAGACAAACGTATGAAATATATGGCAGTTTTTTTGACAAATTTTTCGACTTAGCGGCTGTCGTCCTATTTTTATCAGCTGTCTTGTTAAGCTTTATTTGTATTGTAGGGCAATTGGTGCACAACTCCGCTTCGTCTCTGTAGATTTTAAAATTTCCTAGCTTAATGAAAATTAATTATACAATTTTTTCTTATTGGGTTATGTTTATGAAAACAATTTTTTAACAGTAATGAACATAGTTAGTACTCTTATATAGGTGTTGCTGATTTTTTTTGTTTGTTTTTTTTTCAGGAAAAAATCTTAAAATTTGTTCACGCTCAATTTTGATTTTTCGCGGTTTGACTTGTGGTTTCTTTTCAAGTTCAGTGCATTTCCATTGTTAAAAGGAAGGCAAACTCCACTATCGAACAGCAAAAGTGTAAAGGTCTCGAAAAACGTGATCGACTTCTAATTTCGAAAAAGGAAATTAATTATCAGATTTACCAGCGAAATAAAAAATGATCCAGTTTTCTCAAATTGGGCTAATTTTAACAAAAAAGTGTCCATGATAAATTGTTCTACAAATTCAAAGAGCTTTAAGGCCATCTATTTTTTTCTTCGAAATTCAAAAGTTGAAGGTTTTAGGGAAGGTTTTCTTGCGTTCATCTTCGATTGGCTTTGTTTTTTTTTCTTTGAGTTCATTGACACTTTTCCAACTCTAGCTATGTTTTCTAGCTCATTATCATCATTTCCTTCCACCTTTTCCCAGTCTACTGAGGTTGACGGGCCCCTGAATTGCACCTGTTAGCCATTTTTATTAGAAAAGGATGCTTTTGATGACCATTTAATTATTGAAACTTCAGTTATTGAGTGAATATTTTACGTTTGGCTTTCCTTTGCAGGTCGTGTTTCCCTCGCAGCCTCCGTGGTTCGAAGTGTTCAAATGCACGGAAGATCAGTTGAAGGATGTGGCCGTGAACATCATGTACGTCTACGTGCACCAACCTCAGCCTCAACAGCTGCTCGAAGAGAAGATTCTAAATGTACGTACCTGTGCCTCTTTTCAGCCTCCTGTCTAAAAAATCATTGTCGAAAAATTACTTATAAAATAAGCCTTGTTTTATTTGCGTCAATCTGTTTTTGCTGTCCAGTTGTCTCTAGAAATAATTTTTCCCAAAAAAGTGCCACTCAAAAACTGCAGCAGACTTTTTACTCAGAAAAACATTAATTTTAGATGAAAGTTTTGTTACGAGTTTCGAAGAAAGTAAGGAATATATATCCTCGGTTTGGTTTGTTTTTATTCGGACGAACTTACAAAAGATTATTTCACTGAATCCTTGTGCTCCTCTCCGACAACTTTACTCACTACTATACTAATCTGACTTATCATTGGCCGTGAAGCGAGTAAATTTAGTTTGATGCTGAAAGTATAACGGTATTATCAAATAATGGGCCAGTTAATGGTCAGTCGCAACAGTCAGATCTTTGCTCTGATACGAGGAGTCTTTTTTGCCAATGAAAATATGTTTGCGTTGTTTAATTACTCAGAGATAATCCCCTTTTCTTTCTAAGAGACATTGAGCATTAGTTTTCACTAAAATTTAAAACAGTAAAAAATTAATTTAGAAGTTTTTCATGCAAATTGTTGTATTTAAATTAAAGTTTTTAGTAAATATTTCTGGGGTATGCTTTATTGGCTTAGTATTTGAAGGAAGATCTAACTTAATTTAAATGTATATTTGAATGGACGTCACTTACAGTGAGTTCTAATGTGGTGAAATTTGTTCACAGCTGAAAGAGCAGCAGGCAGAAGCTAAGACAAGAGCGAGAACAGCTGGACTGCAGCTGGGTCTGAACAACAACAACCACATGGTATCAACTTCTACCACATCAACATCCAACAGCACCACCAACCACCACCAACAGAACATGAATAGTAGCAACAACAGTGGATCCCACAGTCATAACAAATCCAGCAATCAGTCGCCCTACTCCAATTCCAGAAACAGTGAGTGTGAAAGAGTGCCGTCTCCTTCATTCTTCTTAAACCATACAAATTTCAACTCAGCACTGAACAAGTGCGATTTCCACAATAGCGAGCTCTTAACTAGCATATGGTTTCTTTCTTGAAAAAAAAGCCGAGGATGGTTTTTGTTTGTGAAGATATTAATGACCCATTTTTCTGTTTTCGCCGTTTTTTTCATTGGCGTTTAAATTTCTCATTGAAATTTTTTTTCCGCGACGTGTCAAAGGCGTCAGAAGCAACTATGTCGTAGAGTCTGATTTTTTCGACCTATTTTGACAACCTCGCAGAAAAGTCGTACGGGGTCAAATGTGGTTTATTATTAAAGACCTCTCAGCAGTCATTAGGATTCCAAAAAAGTAAAATTAAATGTCGATTTTAAGACCTCGATTTAGAATTGATCTAAAGTTTTTGATTCTTCAGAATAAATGAAGCAACATTTACAAATGACAGCTTGAGAGGCTTCAATGCTAATGCCATTCTCACGTTAATTTATCTATTTTACATCGATTTGTTGCAGCTGTTGGACATTAATCCAAACAAATTGTTCTTTCCTGAAGATAAAACAGCAGTAAATTTAATGAAAAAGTTGAAGTTTTGAAAAGAATAAATTTGCTCGTTTTTATTCAAGTTTTTGGTCGGAATATTCAGTGTTTCTAGAACTTCGGTGACTTATACTTACAGTAAATTGCGTTGATTGAGTTGATAGTGCTGATGTTTTCTTTCTCTTTCTTTTCCCTGGCGTTTCAATTCTAATTGCAAGCCTTTGTTTTAGCATCTCCCTCTGCCAGAGATCAACGCAAGGACAAGAAGAGCCGCAAAAGGTAGTGTGCTTTTTAATTGTGGGCGTTGGTTATTAAATAGTTACACTCGCGAGCGTAGTGCTATACAGTTCAGTACCACTCACATAAGGTGGTGCTCAGCAAAGACACCAAAACTCATTGGAGTATCTGTGTACTGCTCATTTGTTTTATCCACTTTATTGCTGACTGGTCTTCGGAAGATAGCCAGGGCAAATGGCCCGCTCGAAATCTACAGTTTTAAATCCGTACAGTTTTAAAGCTTACTTCTTTTGATTTTGTTTTCGAAGTGCAGCTTCAGCTCTGTGTTAATTAATCTGTTGAATAGTATGTCAAAAAGTTTCCAAGATTTTGATGAGGTTTTTTTCATTTTGAGGCGTTCTCGTTCACCCGCATCGGATCCAGATGATTCCGGGGACTCGGCATCTCAGAGATCTAGAGGGAACAACCGAGGGTATAAGCACCAGAAGAAGAGCAAGCACAGTCGAGGTGGGGGAGGAGGAGACCAAAACAACAGCTCAAACTACCCTTCAAACAACAATAACAATAGCTTAGAACCCAACTCAAAGGGCGGAGACAACAAACCACGCAAACATAAACACAGAGTGGTATCTCCGGGAGTAGCGCACGAGAACGGCCACGCCTCCTCGCCCCCGAAAAGAAGTCGCAATTCACAAGGCTCCTCATCCGGCGGAACCAGTTCGAGTCCCGACTACAGCGGCAGTCAGCATATCCACAAGTCCAAAAAACACAAGCGAAAGAGTTCGAGAGATAAACACAAGAAGACGCCCAAGAAAGATTACAAGGAACGCAGCAGTCGCTATTACTGACCTAATTAGTTAAAAAAACTCACAGAAAGTTGCTGGGTTTTGAATAGATATGTGATTAGAGTACTATTTTATGTTGCATCTGTTTTACCTCTAGGAGACGCTATTAAAGAATTAGTTTCTGGCCATTTTGTAACTTTTGTTTTCTCCATTTAATAAAAAAAACTACAAATCAATGTTTTAAAGCTTCAGTTCGTAGAAAAGGGTTCATTACGGTTGTTTTTGGGAAACATTTTTGCACTTAGATTTTTAAAAATTGTCAATTATGAGCGATTCTTGAAATTCGAAAGAATTTCAACGTGATAAGTTTTTTTTCGGAAATTCGAGTTGATAATTCGAATTCTTTTTTTTCGGTCTCCTGGAGATCACTGAACACGTTTCAACTGTCTGTTGAATGTGTTTATTTTCTGCGTTGAGTTTCAAACACTTAGAATTTCTGCGTACAAAATGTTAATTTCTAATCAAAAGTCTCGATAGGTAGCTAACTGGCCTTTTTGGCGTTCTTCCAAGATAGGATTTTCTAAATTCATTTTGCAAATGAGCGGTTTCCGCTCTGTTGAAGATTTTTTATTGCTGCCTGGACAATATTACTGAAGCATAGTTGAAATTTAAATGGGTTGGTGGAGCTTTGGCACAGCAACTGCATTTTAATCGGATGCTACGGCCGAATCACTCGTAGATAAAGCGTTTTTCTCTCCCGCAGTCCAACTTCACCTATTGATCCAGTTTTCTTGAGATTAAATTAGTTCATACTAATTGTCAATCTTAATCTGCTCTTGAATTTCAATAAGTCTTAAAGCCATATTTTTTTTTGACTTTAAATTTTGAATGTTGAAGATTTTAAAAAAGTCATTATATTTATTTGCGCTCATTGACTTTTTTCCATCTGTCTTTTGGCTAGTTTTTGTCACACATAGGTCGCTTCTTTCTCAGGAAAGCCTTAGATCAATTTAGCGCGCAAATCTAATTACGTAGTTGTTAATTAATAATTTGAGCCTTAACAAATTTTGAGACTTCCTGGAAAAATAAACAAAAAAAAATCAACTCAACCTATATTAGTGTATGAACTACGTTTATCGACACTTACCCAGCCGAAGTATAAACCTGTTACGCTCTCCAGTAGTAAAGGTGCAAATGGCGCGAAAAAACTTGAATGTCCTTTAATTTCGAAAAGGATTTTGTTTCAGAATTCCTAGAACAACAAAATTGTCTATTGATTCCATTTTTTCTCCAATTGGGTTAGTTTAATCATGAAAAATGTCAATCATAAAAGGCTAACGATTTTCAATTTGAACAGTTTTTTTTAACTGAACTTTTACAAATTTGTAAATTTACTATGTCTGATTTCGAGCTTTTTTTTGTAACTTTTTTCTCGTATTTTTTTAAATATTCAAACATGTCAGCAGTTGATGTGATATCGACTTGCCATTTTACTTTGCGTAATTTCGAGGGCACAATATATCTTGTTGGGATTATATGTTTCAGTTTGGATGGGTCGTAAAAACTTTAAAGTTTAATGAAATTTTTTATGACTACAGTTTGTTTTCGGCTCAACAGGTTTCGACCCAAAGTTTGTTGCCGCTCGGTAATCGATTTCCATTTTTAAGGGCTGTTTATCAACTTCATCTTATACAAATATGAAATTTTCCTAGCTGTAAATTTTCAATTTTCAAGTTATTTTTTGAAGCTATTTTTTCCTCTTTTTTTCATTCACTATTTTGTAGCGCAATGTCTTTTTTGGATAATTTTGTTTTCTGTATTTTTTTTCATTCACTCTTTTGTAGCGCAATTTGCTTTGCTTCTGTGTTCATAAATGTTTTAACGGCTCAGTATGATAGGTGGTTTTCAAATGTAACGTTTTCAAATCATGCTCATAAGATAGAAAAAAATTTGAGTTTGAATATGCCAGCCGAAGTATGTGCGCAGAATCAAAAATGCGCAGAGTATATATGCCAGCCGAAAAGTTAAGTCATAGCAATGAAATTTCACAGTCTTCCGTAATTGTTACAATTGTTATTTAGCAAATGCGTGTTTTTGGCTGGTATACATTTCAACTGTTTTTTACTTCGGCTGCGTAAGAGTCGATAGACGTAGTTCAGGCTCTTATATAGTTTTCGTTTATTTTTCCCGGAAAAGTCCTAAAATTTGTTCAGGCTCAAATTTACTTTTTCGCGGTTTGGCATTTGATTTCCTTTCAAGTTCAGTTAGCTTTTTTTGTTAAAAGAAGGTGAACTCCACTATCGAACAGTGAAATGGTAAAGGTCACGAAAAACGTGATCGACTTCTAGTTCCGAAAATGGAATTTAATTTTCAGATCTCCGGCGAAATGAAAAACTTACCTATCGATCGGGTTTTCTCAAATGGGGTTAATTTTATCGGAAAAGCGCCAATCATAAATTGTTCTAGAAACTAATCGAGTTTCTAATTTTTTCTTGTAATTTCGAAAATTGAGATTAATTTCTGATTAATTGCGTTCATTGACTCTTTTCCAAACTATCTGTTGGCTACGTTTTTTGCACCACCAAAAATAACAATATAGGAAATTCTGGAAATAATTAAGTGAATAAGCAGTATTGTTTTTATTGTATACCGGTGCTCGAAATTGCTCGCTCCGAAAAGGCAGGCTTCGAAATAGAAAAAAATATATATGAAATAAAAGGTGAAGTTGAGTTTTTTTATGCAAAAAATGTGGTAGGAATAATCGCTGCTACTTGAACTGCCATAGGTTAACTTTTTTCAACCTTCAAATTGATGTATTCGAATAAGATCGCTGTGACACTTGATTTTCACGCCGTTATTATTTATTTTGTTCCACCTCTTTGCTATTTATGGATTGGCAATTTATGCTGGTTTGCCTAATGGGCCGACATTTTGATACAAATTTACGGCGCATATATTGAAGGAGTGCAAAACTATTTTCAAAAGGTGTCGGGAGCTCTATGAAGAATAAAATGGACCAACTAATAACTTTGTAAATTTCTACCATATTTTAATACATCCAGCGTACTCGAGAAAATCCTCAATCCGACTTTATGATTTGACTCATACCTTCAAGCATGTCTGCTAAAAATTTGATATGCCAGTTTTATCGCATTGCCAATTCTAAGAGAAAAGCTTTTGTTTTAACAGCAAATTGTTTTTTGTTCAGCGCAAAAGTCTACAATTAATAAAATAAGCCTATTGCTCGCAGTTTCGTTTAAAATGACGGTGTTTTGGTTTTGAAGTTATGGAGGTGCTTTTCTCTGCGCGACCATTTGTAAGTTATTACAGTTTTTGGTAGAAAATGTTCATTCTTCAGGTTGAAATGCACTGCAATGATTAGATGAGAATGATTCCTCCAAAATGTCCTCTTCTTTGGCAGCTGCTGACCAGTGTCGTCTGTTGCAGTCTGTGGAATGTGTTCACTCTCTGTGAAGCGAAGACAGTCGTGGTCTCGTTCGATGGGTTCCGGTGGGACTACATGCACATCTATCGGGAGCAGCTGCCCACCTTCTGGAAACTAGCGGAGGAGGGAGTACATGTTGAACAAGGTTAGTTGGCTTATGTGGTGTTGTATTGAATGAGTGGTCTGATTTGGCCTTACTTCATTTTAGTGGTTCTTTTAGTCCAAATTCATTGCCAGATTTAAGGGAAACATTGATAGCCAAATGAGTCTCAAAATGGCTCTCTAAAAATAAGATGGCGAAATGTGATGAGCAGATAAATAGCTTAACTGCAGTCTTATCATATTTATTGAGTGCGCCATTCATAATTCAAGTGGCATAACAGTTAAATAAAAAAATCTTTTATCCATTGTTTTTTAATATCTAATTCTCTAATATCTAATATCTCTAACTATCTAATATCTCTAATTCTGAATGAGCCTCAGAATCGGGTACAATAGAACCTTGAGTTTAGTTGATCGTGTAATGCCATTCTTAGCTACCCTGAGTAGATAGTTTTTGTTACAATCTTACGTGTTATTGAAGAGGTTTTTTTCACTCAAGCAATGCTTGTTATAAAAACAATTTCACTTTTATTACGAACAAAGTCGCACATTTCATTGCACAGTTTTTGAGCGAAGATGTCTAGGCGTTTCATCTTTGCCATTTAAACACCCTCTTAAACACCCACTTGGTTAATACGCATTCGTTTGTTCCCGCCACTTGATGATTTTGTTGTTCCTTGCTGCTTATGTTTCCTGATTATTCAGCACTGATGGCGGAGCCGCGAAAATGGAAATTGTGAGTTTGAGCAAAATATCTTGCACAAAATGTTTTTTCAACGCAAATTCATACAACTTGCAAAATTACGATTTTTCTGGCGTCAAAAGTAATTAATTGGTAGCGCTGAAACAAGCCTCCGTATTGAACACAGGATATTGTTGAAGTCAGTTGTTGTGTAGCGTTAGCTACTGTTCACAAAGAGTAGTTCTCGATCATTAGGCCTGAGGTTCGAATCCTTGTATTCCAATTTTTTCATTTTAAAAATCTTTTGTTATCTTGATTCAAATGTTTGTTGTTTTTGTTCCGATCATGTCACTGAAAGTGAGTGGAAGGAACTATGGCATAGGGTTTGTTTTTTGCCCCGTTTTAGTTATCCCAAGGAAAGATCGCAGAAGGTTGAGTGTGGTTTCATATGAAAGCAATTTTGGTCGTAATTCGGATTCTTAAATTTCAAAATTCAGTGTCAAGAAAAGCTGGTCTTGCAAGAAAAGGAGTTTTTGCCTATTTAAACAAATTTCTCATATTTGCGATGGACAATTTTTCTTTTGAAAGTTATTGAATGATTGGTTGATATACTTTAAGGGGCACTGTATTCAATAGATTTATCTTTTATGTTTTTGTGTGCTTGTGTGTGTTATTAAGGGAAGAGAGACATAATTTTTTTTTGATAAGTTGTTAAATATTAATAAAAAATTGGCTCGAAGTTTTTCTGCTCGGGTAGTTTCGGCTCTTTCGCCGCCTGGTTAATTTTGTTCCGATGCTGGTTTTCTGTTTTATGGGCATGTTTTTTCTACAACTATCTTCATTCATTTTGATAGATCTAGTGGTAGGCGGAAAGCGGACTTTTTTTAAAGTACACCCGGCTTGAAGTCCCACCGTTAATTATCGCTTTTTCTTCAGTATCCCAGTGATCGCTATTTTCCAGCGCTGATTCATGTATAGTTCAAAGTTTGTTGCATAGATAAATCTGTGATTTTTCAGAGCTATTTCAGTAATGATTCCGTAGAAAATCATCGCTGAAACTTGAGGAATTTTAACTCAAAATAGTAGCTTTCAAATGATAGTTATAGGTTATAAGCTCTTAAGCTTTAGTTCCTTTAAGAATTGATAGCGGAGAGGTAGCGTACTTGTCCATAAATCACAAGTTTCAATGTGAGCTCAACCCGGGTAGCTTTCAGGTTGGTTAATAATCAATTTAAATTTGCAAAACTTTTCCGCTTTTCACAATTTTTCTTGCCTTTTTGAGTTTGTCTAATGAGATTCAATGAATCAAAAGGGCCCTAGAGAACGGCACGACATTAAGTTTGCTCTTGATATACTTGTCTTAGGGTCCATAAATTGAAATAGCAGCGAAAGATTTAATTGAATGAATTAGTTTCCCATTTTTAGTATCAAGAGATTAAAGATCATGACTTCAGAGATTATTCACATCGGTATGAACGAATTATTACTTCAGATGAAAGTCAATTGGTTTTAATTAGACAGTGTGCTAAATATATATAATGCACAGTTGAAACCCCCACTCAATTGGCGAACATCTGAAGCCCAAAACGTTTGCACTTTGTCTTGCCCAAATTCTTAGTGAGAATATCAGCCACCATATTGTCAGTCCCAATATAGTTCAAATCCAACTGTTTCTTTTGAATTAAGTCCCTGATGAAATGTAGATGAATAGCAAAATGTTTTACGACTCCCTTGTTAACGTCGTTTTTCACAAGAGAAATACATGCTTGGTTGTCCACAAACATTTTGAAATCAATTAAATCGAGTTTGATTTCGATCAGTAAATTCAACAGGAATAATCCTTCATTACAGGCTAACGAAAGAGCTGTAGCCTCTGATTCAGCTGTAGATTTTGCAACAGTAGTTTGGAGTTTGCTAGCCCACGATATTGCACCGCTGTTTTCAAACAGGAAAAAGCAATATCCACTAGTACTGCGTCTAGTGTCACTGTCACCTCCCCAATCAGAATCAGAATAGCCATACAAGATTGGCGTAGCAGTACATCGTCTGTAGATAAGTTTATACGATCTAGTTCCTTTCAAATATCGTAGAACTCGTTTTGCAGCAATCCAGTGTACTTCAGTAGGGTCGTTCACATATCTACTCAAGCAATGAGCGATGAATGAAATATCAGGCCTTGTAGTAATTGACAAGTAACTTAGACTGCCGATAAGTCCTCTATAATCTTTGTCGTTTGCTAATTTCACCTCATTTGGTAGCCGTTTACAAAGTTTTAAACCATCAGCTGCAGGTGTAGACACTGGTTTACACTCAATCAAACCAAATTTTGACAGTAGCTTGTCAATATACGCTTCCTGAGAAATTTCTAACCCATCCCCACAAAAGTTGAATTTCATCCCCAAAAACCAATAAAGTTTTGCTGTTTCGCTGATTTTGAATTGACTAGATATTTGTTGTTCAAATGATATAAACTTGTTAGCATCATTGCAAGCGTAAATTATATCATCCACCCAAATGCATACGTATTCCAAAACATCTTTTGAAATTCTCATGAAAAGACAGGGATCACTTTTTGACGCTGTAAAATCTATTGACTTAAGGAACATCTGTAAGGTATAGTACCAATTTCTTCCTGACTGCTTTAACTTAAAGTGATCATGAGATTAAAGATCATGACTTCAGAGATTATTCACATCGGTATGAACGAATTATTACTTCAGATGAAAGTCAATTGGTTTTAATTAGACAGTGTGCTAAATATATATAATGCACAGTTGAAAACTTGATAAATTTTTGAAATTTGAACTTTTTTCTTGCAGTTTTTCACGTCAGCTTTTTTTATTAAGCATTGGCTTATATTTTTGCTTCGCATGAATTGCAAATATCTCTTTCGGCTCTGTGATAGAAAATATCGATTATCAAGAGATTTCTAAAAATGTTGGGGCTGGGAAACAGATAGGTGAAGCATGCCAAGATGACGATGGATCAGCTAATGGTTTTTTCATTTGCAGGTCTTATCAACGCTTTCATCACAAAAACGTGTCCAAACCACCGCACCATATCTACTGGCATGTGGGAAGAGAACCACGGCATGGTGGCCAACAACTTCTGGGCCCCAGATGTGAACGCCTCCTTCGACTTCTCCAAAAACAACTTCTCCTTCTGGAAAGAGGCCGAACCCTTCTGGACGAGTGCGGAGAAACAGAATGTGACCTCAGTGTGTCTCCAGTTCCCAGGCATCTTGTTAACTATACCTCCCCCCTCAATAAAAAGGAAAAGATTCATTACATGGAACAAAATCATCTGTATGGTTAGGCGTTGAATGTAATATTGATGTGAATAAGTCTATTTATTACGGCGGAAGAAATTGTTCATCATCACCATTAGTCTAATAGAGGGTTCGAAGTTCTTTAATAGGTAATAGGGGGGGGGGGGGGGGGGGCAGGGTAGTTAAGAAGCTCCTTTTCCAGGCTGTGCAGTGAAAGAGCAACAGGCGACTTATACACTGGGACTGCCGTACAGCAACGACTACTCCTGGAAGTCGATTGTGGATAACATGACCCTGTATTTCAACAAAGAGCAAAACCCAGCACAGTTTGCAGTCTTGTACTACTACGAGCCAGATCACACAGGTTAATAGTAAATTTCAAACAGCATCTGGAAGAGAAGAGAAGTTCTGAAAATCACCGTGAATTTTATCTTGTCGAAGGTAACTGGTTAGATGCAATTGCCAACAACTGCTATATTTTAAAGCAAACATAACTTTCAGTTTTTTGGTTGAAAAGTTCCTGCAGAAAGAATATCTCGATTTTCGAACTACACCTAAAAAGAGTTGTAAGTTGTACATTTCAAGCAGTTAAGTCATGATGATGGTTTGGGTCATAGAATGATTAGTTGTTCGATTCGTGAGAATTCTTAAGCATGATCATAAAATGTAAAAATTTTCGTTTCGAATGAACTTGCATGTGAGTTGTGAGTGAATGTTGTCCTACAAGTGTAAAGTTTGTTTAGGCCATGAACATGGACCTCATTCGGATGAAATGCGAGCAAAGCTGGTGGAAGTGGATGGATACTTGGAGTATCTACTGTCCAAACTATCCACTGAGCACGATGACGTCATAATTACATCAGACCACGGAATGGCCTCTGTGTCGACTGATCACGTCATTTCCATCCAGGGATACCTGAATGAGTCATATTATGACCACGCTTTCTTCTCCGCCTACACGGAGGCTCTGCTTTACTCGAAAAACGGATTCCACGACATGTTAATGCAAGATGTACAACATTTCATAAACGATCACCCAAATTTCACGGTAACTTTTGAAATTTCCTGTCGAAGATTGATAATTCAGTAATCAAACGCCTTAAAAATTAGAAATTGTTAGATATAATCAGTGTAAATATGTAGTTATTAGCTAAAGGCCCATTGAAAAGTGCCTTTTATGGTATGATTTTCGTGAAATTATTCCGTAAACAAAAATGTAGTTTTAACATAGTTTGAACTTCGAGGAAGCGACTTTTTTCCAATCAATGATTACACGAGATTGAATGTTGCCATGGCGACCTTAACTGTGTGTCATCTAACGAAGATGATTAGCAGTGAAAGATAAAAGGTCCCCTCCCCCTTCTGAAGTACTATTAACATGACAAATGTATATTTTTAAGGCGTACAGCAGGGCGGACATTCCGGAGCACTGGCACTACAAGTACAACGAGAGGATCCCGGACATCTTGATAGTGGCTGATTACGGGTGGCTGCTGGTAGACAGACAAGACAGCATAGACTACCTCAAGGGGAAGAACATCATAGGTAGGAACGCCTTCTCAACATACCTGGACATTTTCTGCGTTTATGTTTGTCCAATTTTCAGACTTTTATTTTTGTTTTTTATTTTTATTTTTGTCGGTTTATTTACCGCTACACGCATTTATTGAAGGTTCTCTTTAACCGTTTTAGAAGACCATTCTAACATTCGTTATGGAGCAGGTAATTGAGTTTAATATTGGCAACATAGTTACCCTTGAGTTGCTCTCGTAAAAAACGTTGCTTACTTTATTAGCATATCATATTCCTGGTATTTCTTTTGCCCGCATTGCGTGAAGGTTTGCACATGCTTGGTTTAACAAAGGTCTGGAGTCTTAGTTTTTGTAAATTAAAAATTCCCTGCTTCGAAACTTCTTTTTGTTGGGCTATCGTTCGTCTAGTTATGTTTGCCGTCTAAGTTTCCACTGCATTATTTATTTTTATTTGAGCAAATTTTACTACAATTAAAAGTCACGTTGATTTATTCTTGGACTGGCGCGGTTGATTGAGTTCCAAGAATTATTTGCCCAGTTTTTTGGATGTTTTCTACGATTTGAAATGTTTATAAATTTTACTCTTCTATTTTTTATTTTACTTTTTTTAAATCTTACTCTTATAATCAAAAAGAAAATGAATGAAGCCGAATGTCCCAAAGTATCTGAAATTGTGATTCAATGTCATCACAGAGTTTTGAGAAAAAAACAGGTTCTTCCGTTTTTTCACAAATGATTCCGTCGCCTCCGTTAAGTTAGTGAAATTAAGTTTCATGATTTCAAAATGTATTAAATTAAATTAGAGAGATTAAATTAATCGTGCCTAGTTTTGAAAAGTTTAAAGTTTTTTTTAGTTCATAGGAAATATGTTGCAGTTTTTCAAATTTTCATTTTTTGAATTTTTCTATTAGATTATCGTATAGTTTTGTATCACATCTAGTGCGAATCTCGGGTTCGCCTCTGTGTTATAGCTTTGTTATTTCGCTCTTTTGCAGGGCAGCATGGCTTCGACAATCTTCGGCTGGAAATGCATCCGGTTTTTGTGGCTAGGGGTCCCTCCTTCAGGAAAAACTTCACCCTGCCCCCTGGGCAGATGGAGTCGGTGGACATATACCCACTCGGTAAGTAGAACTTGAGTAAAAACGTACAATATAGGCCCTTATTCATCAGGAGCAATTGAGCGTGGACTTGAAGAAGGAACTACCGGGGCAGTACAACAGTGCCGAAGTGCAACAGTGCCGAAAATGGAAAAGTGTTCATTAGCGCCGAAAACTGATAAATTTTCGGCACTGCTGAACAATAAACTTACTTTCGGCACTGTTGTGCTGCCCTTAGAGGGGCGTTTAACAATGCCGAAGTACAAGAGTGCCGAAAATAAAATTATTGATCAAGTGCCGAAAATCATCAATTTTCAGCACTGTTGAACATTTTTTCATTTTTGGCACTGTTGAACGCCCCTGAACTGGCTCATTGTTTCTGTGAAAGCACTTCACGTTTATCAGTAACTGAAAAATACCTTCGGTGATGACAAGGAGACGAGTCTGATCCAGACAATGAAGTTAATAGACAATTATGAGAGACAGTAAAGCAAACAAAGCAGGCTCACCGCACCCAATTAGAAGAAATTTATAAGCTGAATATTGAATCACAATTTGTTACAGCAGTTAGATTTTTTTGTTCGATTTGAGGCCAAGCAAGTTGTGAATCAATTATTCATTTACAGCCAAAACGCCTTCATTTACCAAAAATATAGCCGTATTGCTTGCGGATTTAGTTTTTATGATCCAAAGAAACTGCCTGTTAAAATGATACGTCCTTTCTCTTGGTTGGTGATTCTCTTGGTTTTAGTTGGTTCAATAGTGGGGTTTGCGACGGATAAAACGAACGGATCTCTGTCACATGTCCTGCCTCTTCTGGCTTCTTCGTCTGGCAAAACGAGCAGTCTGGTCAGTTATTTTTTCACTAAGCATATGCTGCAGTAGTATCAGCTGTTCCCGTGGGGCTATTGTTTTATTCATATGGCATGGTATGGAACACAAAAACTATACCCCAAGCGAGGCCACGTCAGGATTTCAGACGCTTATGTTTTCAGTTTTATGGCTGATAATAATTCAGTGTTTTTTGATGTTACTAGATTACTCTTGAAGGTTCGTAATCATGACTGTTTTCAGTCTGAAAAATTGCAGATATGACTTCAATTCAGCATGTTTTTTTTGCCTCAAAATCAAAAATTACAGATTTAGCAGAGTTACTTGGTCCGGCGTCGAGAAACGGTCCGGAAAATTGGTTAAAACTTACACAAAACACACCTGCTAATGAGACTCTTGAGATTGGAGCAGTATTTTTCAAAATATTTGCTGGAATAGTTCTTTTGTTGACTGAATTCGATCATCAGCGCGAACTTATTCATAAAATAATAGCCGTTTTCTTATGCCGGACCAAGTAACTCTGTTAACTCTATTAGTTGTCACTTTGAGGCAACATAATGAGTAAGTCAAGCTCATTAGCTTTCCAAAGAACTAATTTGAGCATAATAATTTAATTTCCTTATATTGTTTGTGAGGATGTTTCCATAGCAAGAACACCTGTAAAATTAGTTATGATAAGCTGGCTAATTTACGCCTTCAAAACAAGATTTTTTATTTTTTGATACGGTTAAGCCCTTTCAAATAATTTCATCCACCTTGAAAAAATTTGAATCCTGTATCTTAAATAGTTGCAGAGAAAACGAACAAAACGTGAAGAAAAAGTTCGTTCATTTTCTCGTTGAAATCATAAAAGTGCAGCCTCTATGTCCCGTGACTGTATGTATTCTTCTGGTGGAACGAATTTGAAAACGGTTAGGTTCCGTCAACCATGATGAAATTTGAAAGATGGTATGAGACCACCGTGTAGATTTCTTTCGGCGCTAAGTTAACCCTTTACGTTGATTGGTTTTGTTCTTTAAAAGATAATGGAATCTTTCAAGTTGTCAATTTGCTGGACTCAAGAATGGGCGACTCCATCCACTTATCTATGATACTCACCGCGTAAACACGACTTATTTGAGCGTTTCGCATCAAAGTGAAACACTCATGTCATTATTACAATTGCATTGAGGCAGGCAAGCAGTACTAGACTCAAAGTATAGTTTAAGTTTCTGTTTAGTTTTTTATTTTAAATGACGTTGTCTTGGCATATTTCTTTAATTATCTCTATTCTTTCTTTTGAATTCTAACAGCTACTTTTGCTGTTTTCGTATAAGTGCAAAGTGTAGCTTCGCTTCAGTGGTAAAGGCAGCTGGAAAAAACTGCTTTTATGAATTTCCAGAATTTTGTTTTAAAAAAGCTGTTAAAAGCACATATTGCTGTCTGTGTTTATTGAACAGGCTGGTCTCATAATTAATTAGGCAAGGCTGGCGGCCTTTTAATCAGCATCATTGTTTTTGTAGTGGTGAAAACCGTTATCATAGCAGGATTTTTATTGGTTATTAAGACTAATGAACGTAGTGAAGAATCTTATATAGGTCGTGCTGATTTTTTTTTCAGAAAAAGTCATAAAATATTGATGCACTTATAGTTCAATTGAAATTCATCTGCGGAAAATGACGTAAATAGCACACTCCAAATACAAACGTGTAAATGGCGCTAAAATTTGTGAACGATTTCTAGTTTCGAAAGTGGAATTTAATTTTTAGATTTCCACCTGTTGATTCAGTTTTCTCAAGCTGGGATAAGGTTACCAAAAAGTGCTTAAAGTGTGTTCTAGAATTTCAAAGAGCTTAAAGGGCATCTATTTTTTTCTTTGAAATCCGAAAGTTGAGATATTTTAAACAAAGTGTTTTTTTTTATGTTTACTGCGTTCATTACTCTTTTCCAATCTTCGATTGGCTATGTTTTTTGTGTTTCTGGCAATTGTTAATAAACGAAATTATTAATCTTTCGATTAAACTAATTATAGTCGTGTTGATTATTTACCTCTGTAAGGAAGAAGTCTGAATGTTTGTGCGCTCTCTAATTTGCGGTTTGAAAAGATAATAGTATCATTTGGCGTTTTCGCAAGTGTAAATGAAGATTTGAAATGATGCATTTTTTGTGAATTTTTTTCAGTTGTTTCCAGTTCAATAACACCTTGACGACTGGCCGTTAGCTATGTTTCATTGTTAATATAGGTTAACATATTTAGAGATTAGCTGGTTATTTCTACGTTATATATTTTTTAAAATCTCCATTTTTTCAAGCTCAATTTGGTAATTCGCCGTTTTTTTAAGCTGCTTCTCAGATTTATTTTCTAAGTGGAGCTCAGAGTATGCCCCGTGATAGCCAAAAAGGAAATGCAGAATAGCTAGCACTTATTGTTCCGACTTTCGATACGAAAGAAACGGAATATTTGTGCTCGGGGTGGGTTTTTTTTCTTCAGACAAATTTCGACTTTTAACTAGCCATTTTTGACGGAATTTTTTTTATATCATTCGAAAGATTTTGTTATCCTGAGCTTAAATTTGAAAAGATATTTCATCTGTGATCAATTTTCGAAAAGTTATGGGGGTTTAAAGATTGCCATTTTGGCCAATTTGGGACAATTAACGCGCGATATATTTCGCGCTATTAACGCGTAAGCGGAGATTTAATCCGTCTTAGAAATCGTTCCAAATTGGTTGAAAGAAGCTTATTTGCCATAATTGATTTGTTACAAGAAGCGAAATCTATCCTTTTGTACTTTATATGGCGTATGGGGGGATGATTTTCATAACAAAAATTTAAAATTTTAGATAAAAAAATTTTCATTTAATTTTATTTCATTTAATTTTTTTATGTTGTTTATGTTATTACTGCTTTATAAACGTTAAAAGGCAGTCGAAACTTTCAGGGCTTCGCCCTGATACGAGCAGTCATGTTTTATTTCAGTTAATTTTTTTATGTTGTTTATGTTATTACTGCTTTATAAACGTTAAAAGGCAGTCGGAACCTTCAGGGCTTCGCCCTGATACGAGCAGTCTTTTTTTCTTCAGACAAGTTTTGACTTTTTAACTAGCAATTTTTGACGGAATTTTTTAATATCATTCGAAAGGTATTGTTGTCCTGAGCTTAAATTTGAAAAGATATTTCACCTGTGGTCATTGTTTGTAAAGTTATGAGGGTTCAAAGATTGCGATTTTGGCCATTTTGACCAATTTGGGACAATTAACGCGCGATATAACTCGCGCTATCAACGCTTAAGCGGAGATTTGATCCGTCTTATAAATCGTTCCAAATTGGTTGAACGAAGTTTATTTGCCATAATTTATTTGTTACAAGGAACGAAATCTATCCTTTTGTACTTTATATGGCGTGTGGGGGGATGATTTTCATAAAAAATTTCAAATTTTAGAAAAAAAAGTTTTCATTTAATTTTATTTCATTTAATTTTTAAATGTTGTTTATGTTATTACTGCTTTATAAACGTTAAAAGGCAGTCGGAACTTTCAGGACTTCGCCCTGATACGAGCAGTCTTGTTTTATTTCAGTTATTTTTTATATGGTTTTTATGTTATTACTGCTTTATAAACGTTAAAAGGCAGTCGGAACATTCAGGGCTTCGCCCTGATACGAGCAGTCTTGTTTTTTTCTTCAGACAAATATCGACTTTTTAACTAGCAATTTTTGACGGAATTTTTTTATATCATTCGAAAGGTATTGTTGTCCTGAGCTTAAATTTGAAAAGATATTTCACCTGTGGTCATTTTTTTGTAAAGTTATGAGGGTTCAAAGATTGCGATTTTGGCCATTTTGACCAATTTGGGACAATTAACGCGCGATATAAATCTCCGCTATTAACGATTAAGCGGAGATTTAATCCGTCTTATAAATCGTTCCAAATTGGTTGAACGAAGTTTATTTGCCATAATTGATTTGTTACAAGGAACGAAATCTATCTTTTTAAACTTTATATGGCGTTTGGGGGGATGATTTTCATAAAAAATTTCAAATTTTAGAAAAAAAGTTTTCATTTTATTTTAATTCATTTAAATTTTTTTATGTTATTACTGCTGCTCCATAAACCTTAAAAGGCAGTCGGAACATTCAGGGCTTCGTCCTGATACGAGCAGTCTTGTTTTAAATTATATTGCTAGAAGGATAACCACAATTGCAAAAAGTGATTATTCCCACTTATTCACACATTAAAAATGAGACGGTTCACGAGGCCATAATTGGTACCAGGCGACAATAAGTAGTTTCAATTGTTATGGGGATTAACTACGATCTTTCAGAATATATGATGCATTTAATCGTAACTATGGGTAGATTTAGAAAATGCTGGAATTTAGCAATGTTTTTGAGTTATGCAAATTCAAATGGCTTAACGTTGAGATAACGTTAATAAACAACAAGCAGTAGCAGCAATTACTCTCGGTTTCAAATCGCTGTTTTTGTTTCAGTTCTCAAATCACATATTTGCTTCCAATTTTTTTGTAACAAATATCTCATCAATTCACTTTTAGTCATAGCGGAAGTCAGCAACTTGTTCTTGATGGACAATCGTTCAAAAGAACCCAGCATAATAGCTTCACCGATAAATCTCCCTGGAGATGCAATAAAAGACTTTATAAGAGATCTAATGACTTTCCGTAAGTCCAAATGGCGAACAAGGTCACAAAGTTCTTCCTTATGAGCTGGTCGTCAAAATTTAGGTCAAATTCATTAACGTGTACTGAATTTTGACCTTAATCGTTTTAATTTGAACAAAATGCGTTTTAAATAAACGCCAGTTTGAGGGCGACCTCAAGTTAGGGGATTTTGATTCTGGGGATAATAAACTGTTCCCGTTAATTTTTCACTCCTGTTTTTAGTGTCGAACGTGCTACCAAAGAAGAGAAACGTCTTTCCCCTCTCAAGCCTTCCCGGTCCCTTCCTTTGAAAATGCTAGGAATGTTTGCTTAAAGACCGTTAAAAATCTGACTCAATCCATTTCTATCGCCCGAGCAGCTCAACGAGCTATTTGATCAGCTCCCAAGACAAAAAAGGATATGAACATCCCACGTGAATTGAGTTCACTCTTTGAGAGGAAAACTTCTACATGATTTGAGCCCGGTTGACATGGACCGTTATTTTAATTTTGGAAGGGACGAGAACCTGGATTTATTAGAATTGAGCACCGTATGGCATTTAGATGGAACACTAAACCCTGGCCATCCATCGTCTACTAAATATTTACCCTTCATACTGCAGTGATTAAACAAAGTGTATCATTAACCTACTTCGTGTTGCAGAACGAGAGCGAGGAGCAATTTGACCATGCATTCCGACATTTTAAGGAAATTAACCCACGTTTTTTTTGCTGAAGTACGAGAATTTTTTTGCGGAAGTACGAGTCAAGTTTTTGCATTTTGCTCAGGCAAATTAGCGCAAATTTCGGGACCTTGAATTGGATCTCACGTACAAAGCAGATCGAAAAACGCGCCTCTTGCAAGTTTTTGTTGTGGGCTTTGCAATCATACCGGAATTAGGCTCTGCTATATGTCTCTAGTCGCTTCTATTCGTGAAGAATCGTACGATTCCTCATTGATGGTTTATTTGGATTATTATGAATCAACTTGGCATGGGATGATCATTCGCGGTCGTAGGGAGGGGGCTTGTCAGGTTCCTTAATCTTCTTGGAACTAATTCGCGAAAGAAAAGCAAAAAACGGCAGGCAGAAGACCAACAACTCAGTAAGGCTGGCATAGAGCCTTACGAATGGGAATTGGTTGCGCTCTTCATAAGTTCTTTCAATTCATGCGAAAGAGCAGAGTATGACTAAGGAAAAATATACAAGTCCAAGCGCACGAACGTGCTACTGAAGTTGTCAAATATGAAAGAGTCAATATCAATTGGTTGAACTTCTGAAAAACTAACAAAACGTTACCATTCTAAAGCAAGTTGAGGGATTATTGTTCAATTTTGATTTCTTGTTAGCGTTTCTGTATTTTCTTGTTAGTTTAATGTTAGAGTTTGAATTGTTTCAATCGAAGGTTTCTGTCGGTCTAATTGACACTCGGTGCACATAGTCGCGCTCCATGAGGCATCGATTTGATTTTTTTAGTACCATTTGTCGTTTTCGACGAATTTATCGCTTTGCCACAAAGTTCGTCTTTTGATGATCTAAAAATAAGCCAATAATTAAAGTTTTTAAGAGTTGCTGTTCTATTAGATTCTGAAACTCTTTTCTATTATATAAGCTGTTCTATATAAGATATAAGCTGTTCTATTAGATTCTTAAAGTCTTTTTTTTTCGAATGTGATATGAGTATCTTAGTTTCTATGAGCTATTATGAGTTTTCTAACTGTCTGTTGGTTATAGCTAGTTTTACTAGAATAACGCATGAGATAATGTGTTTGTTTGTTTAGACTCAGTTGGTGCCGATGTACGTGGTGGAGTTGGGGGGCAGCCTCCTCATCCTTCTGGCCTTGTGTCTCGTCTACTCTCTTTTCATCCTCGTCACAGGTGAGTGAGAGACAAATAGTACCCCCCATGGCCCCATTCCCATTTAATACCCACAGGAAAATGTTCAAAATCCAATGAAGCATGATATATTTGATCAGGGATGCAGAAGTGTATCTCCATGAAGAGATGAAAGGTAGTTTCTATTGTTTCATCCAATTGGGAGCGGTGGTGATGTGGTTAAGTCTCCGCCTCTCAATCGATAGGTCGGATTATCGAGGCCCACCCTGATCCATGCTTGTTGCTTGAGGGCGAGGCAACATTACCCAGCCCAGAAAAATAACCAAAAAAAATGCTTGTAGTTCTTAAACAGGGGTACAACAGCGGTTCGCCGTGATGAGCAGTACAGCTCGTATGTTGGTTATTTTCTTCGTGGATAAATGGTCTTAATATCTGGTCTTAAAAATTGTGGAACTTGTAAGATCTAATTATATCGAACCCCATTATAGGTCGCGACTGCTGTTTGAGAGAGACGGAAGAAGCGTCTAAAAAGAGAATGTATCTTCTGCCGAGTGATCTAGACGACGAAGAGAATGACGACCAGCTGTTCAGTCTGGAGGAAAAGGAACAGGCCTCTATGCCTTTTCTCCAGAAGGACAGAAACAAAACACGGCTCACATCACAACACTCTTGAACAATCACTCCATCATAATTCCCATCTGCTTAATTGGGAGTTTTGCCGGGGGTGGAGGGGGGTATATTTAATACCAAGTATCATGAGAGGGGTAGTTGGAGTAAAAGAGGTTCTTGTATCTGTGTACATACATGGCATTAATATCGGCAAGATTACCTCAAAAATAAGCGGTGCTAGTTTTCTGATTTTCTTTTCCTGCAGCTAGCTCATACTTATTTATTGCTTTCACATATACGCATGGCCCCCTAAAGTTGCGGTTTCATAAGGGAAAACATGAAATAAAAAAGTAAAATTCAGAATATTCGCATCAGTTGTGGCGGCTAATTTCGCAGAAAAATGGCTGATTAGTGGTGGCATTAATGAGTTTTACCAGGCTCAGGTCTAGGTTTTCTGAAGAACTCAATACTGATTAATTTAAATTGAATTTTTGAGCCTGTCACAATCCGGTCTTGTTGGAGAATCAAAATTATGCATGAGATTTTCAATAAGCTTCAATTTTGTGCGACCACAGATTTTTCATTAGATCTATCGGGTAAAGTTTATAAGACGGTGTTTTTTATCCGTGCTTTGACAACCGTGGTTTGTGAAGCTATGAGTTACTCTTGTTGAAATTATTTCAGCAGTTTTGTTACTAAGGCAGAAATGTTTCTCTTTTGTTCCTTTCTTTTCTACATATTAAAATGGTGCTAAAATATTGTTTTCGGTAGTAACACTAATTTCAATGTTTCTGAATCACAGTAATCAAGAATTTAGAATAGTTTGATTATGATCGCGGACGATCATTAATTTTAATAACGAAGGCTGTAAATATAATATATCCTGTGAAAAGTTTCGAAGCTCCTAAGTTTTAAACTCTACCTTTATGTAATCGAAAGTCCTCGTTAGCTTTACCTCAGATTTAAATTTCATGTTCTTTCATGTGAATTGATATATTAAAAACTGTTCTCTTTTCTGTTTTTTTAACCTAAGGAGGAATCATCTTGTAGAAAGTTTTGTTTTAAACAACCTTATTTGAACGTATATTAAAAGCGAAAGAATACAGAATGACAATGTAGCGACTACAAAGTTTGTCGCCATCTTAAAAATCTGGATCAAAAAATTGGATCTGCTTGCAAACGAAGCTATAATATCAAACAAGTCTGCTGGTATCAGTGCGAAGAACTGAATGTTCCGACTGCCCTTTAAGGTCTTTTGAGTACTGTTCGCTTTGAAAAAAGTGATGAATTTTTTGGCTGATAAAAAAAATCCGTAAAAAATGGCTAGATAATAGTCGAAATTGGCCGCGAGAAAAAAATCAAGAGGACCAATATTCCGTAACTTTCTTCGAAAGTCGGAACAAAAAGCTGCACAATAAAGCTGCAAAGCAAGAAAAACGATTATGAAAATAATAGTTTTTTTTTTTTAGTTTATGTCGCTTTGAAATTTCTTCGCTCTTTTTTGCTGCCTTTCATTAAAGCGGCCTGGCCTCTATGAAAATTGTTTGTCCGGAGTTTTTTGGGCGATTTTTGACACAGTGAGATATATTGGCTTCTAAAAAGGCTCAACTACTTGAAATACGTTAGACTTAATCCGTGAGTCAGGTCGGCAAAATGGTTTGTGATTATTTTATGCCATTTTTGTTCAAATGACAAGTTTATTTCATTGTTTGACGATTTGAAAAATATGGAGGATTTTTGCATTCGGGTGCATTTTTGTTTTTTCTCGGTTTTCTACGCAAAATCAGTTACCGTGAATAGTCATCGGAATCGGTCGAGTTATATATCAGTCGTGAATCGAACGACTTTAAATCATTTTGAAAAATTTTCTAAGTCGAGAAAAACCGGTGATAAGTTTTCGATTTTTCGTCTTAATTCGAGGGAGTAAAGCAAGCGAGCAGGCTTATTTTTGCTTAATTTAGGCAGTTTACAATAGCTTAATTAAAGTTTTACTTGATTTTATTTTTTCTACTTGAATAAACTAGTTTGTGGAGATTTTAAATGCCATCTTGGGAACCAAAAAAATCAAAAATTTCTATCAAAGATAATTATAAATTTTTTTCCTAGTCGTTTTTTGTCAGAAACCTTTTTCCTGTTAGCCTATAGTACTATGAATGTCGATTATGCCTAAATTATAAATTTACATCAGTTACTTTTACTACACCATGGAGAAAAATGTACACTTAATTGAAAAAAAAAAAATTGTTGTTGCGATCATTGAAAATGGGGAGGAACTCTGGATTCGGGTGCGTTTTAGTTTTTTCTTGTTTTTTGTTTTCCACGCAAAATCAGGTCCCACAAATAATCAACGGAGAGAATTGAGTGATATATCATTTTACATCCCTTTAAGTCTTGATCAGGTACCACAAATAATTATCGGACTGCTGGGTTGAGTGATAAATTATAATGAAGCCTTTGCAGTTGTGAATGATATTTTTTCACAGTGTCGTGAAAAACCGGTTTGTAGTTGTGGTTTTTGGTCATATTCCAGCTAATAAGGTCACCGTGTAGCATATTTAAGCCGTGGAAACCTAGTTTTACTCAAGTAAAGGAAGTTTTTGGAGTTTTTCAGCGCATATTTGAGAATGTAAAACTTGAAAATTCAAAATAATTCTGCAAAAAAAATTGAAAAAGTTTTTTTCAAAATTTAAAAATTTTGTTCGTTTTTTAGTCATTTTCTTAAAAAACTGTTTTACAAATGATCTATATTACTTTGACTCTGAAATATGCCTAAGTTCAATTTTTCCTTCAGATCTTTGTATGACAACACGCAGAAAAAACACCAATTTGGAAAAAAAAATTTTATATTTTTTTAAGACTGGTCGGAATAATCTGTGCTACTTGTACAGTAATCGGCTATCCTTGTCCTTATTTTTTGCTTTTCTGAGGAATAAGTAAAAATTATAGTGTCAAAATATGCAAATTGATACAAAGTTGCTTCGGCACTTTTTCAATCCAGCACTTGTAGAATGCAATTGTATTTAACTTACGGCCAGGCCACTCTTTCATTTAAGATCAAACATTGTTAGGTGAAGCTTATGGTGCGGCTTCTGTAGCGAAGTTTTTCCGACCATTTGAAAAATGGAAAGGACTGTGTACTCGGGCGAGTTAAAAAATTTTTCTTTCCACGGAAAATCAGCCACCACAAATGATCATCAAACTTTCTTAGTTTCAAGAAAAAACGGTTTTAAATTTGAATTTTCGGTTCAATTCGAGCGAATAAAACGAGCAAGCAAGCTTACAATAGCTTATTTGAATGGCTTAAAAGCTTACAACAGCTCATTTTAAACGTGAAAACTTATTTCTTAGTTTTACTTGAGTATGTTATTTTCTCAAGTATTTTATCGCTTTTTTTGGAATCAAAAACTTCAAATTTCAAAAAATCTGCAAAATAATAGAAGAAAATTTTGATTTTTTATTTTTTCGTTTTTCTAATTTTTTTTTTTTAAATTGCTTATTTTACTATGACTGTCGAATAAAAGTAATACCTAGTTTTTTGTTCAACTGCTTTCAGCACCCTCGAACCTGCTAACAAGCGATTGCAGCACTGTCGAATATTGGTTTATCAAACTTCGAATAAAGATCAGATAGATCCGCCAGTGCTTGAAAAATAAAGTGGTCTATAATCTCAATACGCCGATACGCGAAGTATTACTTTTTGAGCCCTATTTTCTTTCTCTTTGTAAATACTTGAAAATACAGAGATTTTTTTGCGTGTGGTTGCGAAGTACAGCATCGGCTCAGTGTTTTTTTTCCTGTTCCCTTTACAGAGTTTTTTTTTTATTTAAGCAATTGTATCGTCTTGCGAGTAGAACTTGTGTTGTAGTTATCAACAATTTTTTGTGCAATTTTGTTTCAGAGGCTTCAAAGATCATAAGCTAAGTCTTTGCAAATGCATTGCATTCGTTTTTGTTTTTTCTAAAGCGTGTGATAGGCATTGGATTTCCATAGTTAAGCGATTATATCTATATCTCTATAAATAACTATTGTGTGGTCAAAACGTATGCTGGTCTTTTTTGATATGTCTTTGAAATATCTGAGTGAGGAACATAAAAATTCGCGTGATACCATAAAAATCAACTTGTTTGAAAAGCGAGATGTCTATGAATTACTGGTAAAAACGGCTGAATTCCAAATTCAACAGTTTAAACTGACATACCGCCAGCCTTTAATGTTCCTTTCAATTGAGTCTGCTGAGCTAGATCTTAATCTAAGACGCAAATTTGTGCAAATCAAGCGCAATTTTATGTTGAAAACAACCGTTGTTTGCAATGCCTCTAGTATATATTTTTTGGTTCCTTCTCATCAGATTCAACAGCAAATGCAGCTGATTGGAATTGGATAGCTCAAAACTAAGATTCTTCTGTAATTTTCTCTATTCTTTCTTTTGAATTCTAACAGCTACTTTTGCTGTTTTCGTGTAGATGCAAATTGTAGCTTCGCTTCTGTGGTTAAGCCAGCTGGAACAAACTGCTTTTACGAATTTTCAGATTTTGTTAAAAAAAGAAACTGTTAGAAGACAAATTTTGCTGTCTGTGTTTATTGCACAGGCTGGTCTCATAATTAATTAGGCAAGGCTGGCGAATTTTAATCATCAGCATTGTTTTTGTAGTGGTGATAACCGTTATCATAGCAGGAGTTTTATTGGTTATTAAGAGTAATGAACGCAAGGAAGACTCATATATAGGTCTTGCTGATTTTTTTTGTTTTTTTTTTCAGAAAAAAGTCGTAAAATATTGATGCACTTAGGTATATATGCACTTTTAGAGTTCAATTGAAATTCGGCGTTCAATTAGAGAGCGGCAGATCGTCTATTCGATCCTCTGCCATCCTAATCATAGTGTCATAGATTGAATTCTCACCTGACCTCTAGCTTGAGGTCTGCCACAGCCTAATGATGGAAGCAAGTGAAAATTTTAGACACAAGAAAATAGCCCTTACTTAAATTAGTCACAACTACTATTCTTAATGAATAAATTATGTTACCTTCCGAAAAAAACTGATAATTCGTAATTTGCTTAATCTCCACCTCTAAGTCAACAGGGCGAGGATTTGAGCTGAACCATCGTCCGTACTCGCTGTTGGAGGATGAGGCAATAAGAAGAAGAAAATAATTTATTTTACTCAAGATATCAAAAAACAGGCCATTACAGAAGTACGAAATTTACCAAATAAAATTTTTCAATCAACAAATCTTAAACGATAAAGGTTTATTAAAAACCCATTCGATGCGATATCTGGTGACAAATGTTTTTAATGAACTTGCTATCATCAGTTTCTTTAAAACTGACTATTTTCTCTTGATAAAAAATGAAACCTCCCAACGCTGAATAAATTAAACTGTTATTCGCTGACAACGCCTGATCTTCTGAAATTCAACCGTTCAAGCTACCCCTCACATCATAAAATAGTCATAATTGCATCATGGCGCAAATATTAACCGAACAAGCTCAGTGTAAAGACATCCCTTAACCTATGAACAAAATTATATAATTCCTCTTTTTTGAAACTAAAGAAAATGTAAAGCAGTAAACTGTTGTCGCTAAAAGGTTTGAAAGTTTGCAATCTCTGAATCATATTGATTGTCGGTTTAATATTGTTTGACAGCAAGGGATCTCGAAGACCAAGTTGTTAGATTTTTTGGTTTCATAAAGTGGAATCTTCAAACTGAAAAACAAATTTTACGAAAGGCAGTCGAGCTTAGATCAATTATCGATCCTAAACAAAATTTGGGTAGATCATATACATATAGCTATTAAACTGGCGCTTTTTAAATCATTCCCTTCTACTATCGTTTTTTTTCTCCCGTAAAATATCATCCTGATCCTTTTCGGCAAAAGAAAATTAGGGTTGAGTTTTGTGAAACTTGTTTCGCTTTATACCAGTAGATCAAAATAAATGATATTTATAAAAGTGGCGTTTACTGAGCACTTCATTTGCTACAAATTTACTCATTGCGCATAAACTCCTCAATGTTTTCGTAATTTAGTTGTTAACTCTTATGCTTACAAAAAAAATAAATTAGAATCAGCAAAAACACCGAGATATTTGCTTAGAAGTTTTAGTGTTACAGTATGTTCGTTAAGACATTGGCGAAGTATGGGAGTACTGATGCTATTTCGAAAAGTTAAAAGAAAATTGATTTATCACAGTTAAGTTTTTTTTTTCAGCCAGCCACATATACTGTTAATGTCTGTAGTGGAAACTTCGAAAGACTCTTTCTCGCATGCGTTTTAATCTGTAAATAAGTAAACTTTATAGTCTCCCACTCAAATGGGCATATCATTTATTTTTACCTCGAAAATTAGTGACCAATTACAAAACCTTGATAAACATTATGTGATACTTTCAATCATTATGGCGATTTGCCATATCCAAATTACTGTTTGATTATATCCCGATTTCACAAGATGTTGTTTTATTACAATTCTTAGAGCATTTTTTAGTTATTTCATATTAGTTCAAAAAATTTTCACGAAATCCAATAAAATTATTAAACCTAACCTAATTTTCTCCTCTCATCTGTGAACTTTTCATACTTAATTCTATTCGCTGTGTCGCTTTTCCACGCTTTGTAGAATCTGTACATTGCTTTTTAACTTATTTTCGAAAAGTCACGGCGAGTCAACCTCAAAAAATTGCCCGAAAATACAATTTTCTTCAGCAGTGACTCAACAGCGGTTCTTCAGAAAGCGCTGAGTAGCGAGTGTGCTTGCAGATAAATCCAATCATTTAAGCAAAAAACCTGTTCTGGCTAACATTTTATTGATATTGCAGATATTGGGAACTTTGGTGAAGATATAGTTTGGCGGGTAAGAGTAGTTATCAAAGATAGGTAGTTTTTGAAATTGTTTTCGAGTTAGTGAGCAACAGTTCTGAAGTTGTTCTGACGATGTGTTTTGCATTTCAGTATTTTTGAAAAAGCCGTTCTGAAGTTTTTGTTCATGCAGCTGTAAACAAAAGGATTCATAGTCGAGTTCAAATATCCGAGCCAGACTATTCCGGCGTAGAACCGCTGGGGTCTTTTGCCTGCGTAGGCGTCCAGAGGCAAGAAAGCTTCGAAAACATAGATGGCGAAAAAGGGCGTCCAGCAAATGAGAAACAGAATGACGACAACTGCTAGAACTATGGCCGCTCTTCGCTCCTGCTTGATGCAGATCTTTTCCATTTTTTCCACGAATTCCACCACTGAGTTCGGAGAGCGGGTGATACTGCGTCTCCCCTCCCCGCAGTTCTCGGCTGACTGATTCTGCTGGGGGGACTCAATTAGGGCATTTGAGCAATTCTGCTGCTGCTGCTGCTGCTGTTCCAATTCATCATCGGGGGCTAAACAGTTGTTGACTTCCACTTGCTCAGATCCTAAACAAATAGCTAGTTAGAGTTTCAATATGTTCCCGCTCATCACTTCAAAACCAGTTTTTCTGGTTTTTAGATTTCATCAGCAAATTTGTTTTACGTTTTTATGTCTTACGTTTCTCAACATTAGTATAAATTTTTGAATTTGTTTCGAGACTTTTCTGCTGCTGCGACATGACACCTGGTGTATTAATCAATTGAAAATCAGCTTAACTTTCTTCCTTCAGGTGGTGACTAAAGCTGCACTCGTCTATAGTTTGCTCTTCTTGAACAAGTTTACATGTTTTTCTTCAAAATAACCGCTAAAAATAGAAGATTTTAAAAACCCAATAACAAAAATTACACAATGCAAACAAGCGTTTCGAAACAAAAAATCGAAAAGTTATCAAAACATTAAAGCAAGTTGGGCAGAAAAACAAATGCCAGCATAAAATACCTCTTAGTGAGTAAGTGACAGTTGTCTTTTTCTTCCTAGTCGGAGGATCTGTATTCGAACTTTTTCTATCCCGTTCGTGGATCTCTACTCTGCCTTTGTGTTCTTCCGGGTCATTGGCGTTTCCCGACAACCCTTTGCCATCGTCTCTGCCCGCCGCGTTTTCGTTGCAAGTGGCAATTGCGGAGTTGCGAAGTTGTTTGATTCGGTTTCTGTCCGAGGGAAGCACTTTGGGCAGACTGTCCCGCCGCTTCTTTATTCGTTTCCTGGCTGCCTAAACAAGCAGCACATTGTCTCTAACAATAACTACTAATTGAAACAAAAACAGTGAAAAAACAGTTCCTAGCAAAATCCAAAAAATAACATTCGCTCAATTATTTTAGTCTCGACAAAAAATGAAATACATATATGAATCAGTTAGTTTTTCACGAGGCTGGTTAAAAATAAGTGAAGTGAAGGACTGTGATGATGTTGACCTTGTAAATGAGGCAGTAGGTGACAGTTAGGAGGAGGAGGGGCAGTCCGAACGAGCCCACTGTGGAGTAGACGACGTAACTCTTCTCCCTCGGGTAGTCGCACTTCTCAAAGCCCCCTCCGAAGTAGCCTGAAAATATGAGTGGTGTCAGGACAAATGATAGCTCAGCAAAATCTCGATGCCATACTAAAATTTCACGCTGATAAAAAAGAAGCGTAATTAGAAACAGACCTATAATAATTATACATCAATGAGGTGCGCCCAATTAAAGAGTAGCGCAAATCTAAGACAGAAAACCAAAATTTCGAGAAAAAGCTCATTGTCGAAAAGAATGCGTCCTAGTTTTTTCCATTTTTGGAACTGATCTTCCCTTGATGCACTCTGTGAAGAAAGGACAAATGATGCCTTCCTACAAAGTTGGATCTAAGATTTCTCGAGGGGGGCAGATTTTCAAAAATATGTCGGAATTTTTGTTGACCTTTTTTTATTTAAGTGGACCCAGTTGATTTTCTGAGCTCTCTCAAATAATTAAAATGACTCATTCGTTTTTAGGCACTTTTTGAGACACTTTTGATCAAAAATTGGGTTTTTTGGAGCGCGCTCCCCTCAAAGTTAGTATATATTTGCGCCAAAGGCGGCTTTAGAAAAATATTAGGGCCAGCCAGCCAAAAATGGAAAATTTAAAATGGTACCAAAGTTAGCACCTTAAGTTTATTGGCTTGGTGGCCTGATTTAAGGAAAAAAGGACTTTTATCGTTTTGCGTGTTTCCGGAGGGTAAAGGGGTGATATGTTACAATAGGTGGTAAATTTGGGCAGAGTGCATGTGTTAATTATGAGAATTGTAATGCATAATATAGTCATTTCACTTTCAATCAATTGTACACGCTGCTAAGATAGTTTTTGTAAAGTCATTACTCTGCCAGATAAAAAATTATTCAAAAACTCAAAATGTACTATTCTTTTACCATTTGGCTTTTGAAAAAAGTTTTCAATACTGTTCGAAGTATAACAAAAAACAATTGAACTATTATAATTGACCCTGCCACCTATCGTAATATATCACCGGTAAAAGCCGTAAAAAATCAAATTTCAAAACCTACAGTTAAAAATTTTGCACTTTTTTTCGGCGCTACGGGCTTTTATTAAAGTGCTGTCAGCTTACTTGCTGCTCGACTAGTATTTTTGAATATTTATTTCATGCTGTCGGTTGTGCTTTTGGATGCACTCTCCTCAAATCGATCATCAATCGAAACAAAATTGTTTTTTGACTTTTTTTACCTAAGTATAAACTGCTTTTAAAAATCTGATCAGAGAGTATAAAAAACTGAATTTTGAAAAAATTCTCAGCAATTTTCAGTTCGTTATACTTTCAGATCATATTTTTAAAAAGCAGTTTTATCATTAAATTGAGGTAAAAAATTCAAAAAACATTTTTGCTTCGATTAATGTTCGATTTGAGGAAAGCTCATTCAACAGCACAACTGCCAGCATGTAATAAATATTCACAAATACTAGTAGTCGAGCAGCATTTTTGTTCCGACTTTTGATACGAAAGTAACGGAATATTTGTGCTCGGTGTGGGTTTTTTTTTCTTCAGACAAATTTCGACTTTTTAACTAGCCATTTTTGATGGAGTTTTTTTTTATATCATTCAAAAGATTTTGTTATCCTGAGCTTAAATTTGAAAAGATATTTCACCTGTGATCATTTTTCGTAAAGTTATGGGGGTTTAAAGATTGCCATTTTGGCCAATTTGGGACAATTAACGCGCGATATATTTGGCGCTATTAACGCGTCAGCGGAGTTGAATCCGTCTTAGAAATCGTTCCAAATTGGTTGAAAGAAGCTTATTTGCCATCGTTGATTTGTTACAAGGAGCAAAATCTATTCTTTTGTAGTTTATATGGCGTGTGGGGGGATGATTTTCACAAAAAATTTCACATTTTAGCGAAATTTGTTTTTTTCTTTTTGCTTAATTACATTTAGTTTTTTAATGTTAAAACTGCTCCATAAACCTTAAAAGGCAGTCGGAACATTCAGGGCTTCGCCTTGATACGAGCAGTCTTGTTAGTTATTTAGCGCTTCATTGATACATCACTTCTCGCTAAATTGATGTTTTCTTCCCAAATTAATTCTTTTTGCCTTCTCTTAACCCATCGTTCCTCGTGAAAGTTATTTTTGATAAAAAGCAAGAAATCTTTATCAATTGTCGGAGTCTGCAAAAACCTTACAGGTTCATTAGATTCCAAAATAAAGCATCAACAAAGATTGTAAACAAAAAATAAATGGAACTCGGCTTTGCAACAAAAAAGGGAAACACTAAACAATACGCTCAATCCGCAAACAAAATGTGGATTCATCGACAAAATAGTAACAATTGAGTCCAATGTACACATATAACATTGATTAATTATCAATTCCGAAATATCGTAAGCTATTCAAGGATAGCATTCTGGGAAAAATTATAATTGAGCGGTGATTTAACTTGTATCATGATTTCAAGCCAAGGAGAAGATTGAAGAGAAACACTTTTGTATTTGAATTCACGGCCAATTCACTAAAATGTGCAGAATTTCTAGCACTGTGGGATTACATCTCATCAATCAACTCACTCTTAACGACTGAGGACACAATAATTAATGGTGAATTCAAGACACATCATCCAAAAAAAACAAAGGCTACCTAATGGCATAATTCAGAGGGCCCTTTGAAAGATTTTAAACCTAAAGTATCAACCGAAGCCGTTCTTTTTAAACTAAGAGACATTTCTTAACTCAACAAGACTTATGGCCAAAAAATATGCCTGGGTACCGACGCAATTTGAAGACAGTATAAAAAGATACAGTCGTGATAAATCGATTGAAATGGTCGACAATTTAGGATAACGATGTAATCATAATTGAACAACAAGTCTGCTCGTATCAGGGCAAAGACCTGAATGTTCTGACTGCCCGCATCCAGTTTCAAGCGTTAATAATCGATTATATTACGATTTTAGTACCAGTCTCACTAAAATTGCGAAGCAATCGATTTTAAGCAATTAGTAATCGATTATAATCTCTCTTTTTAAAATCAAATTATAATTAATTATAATCCAATATAATCGATTATAATCGATTATTGTTTCGTCTATTTTTCGATACAATTATAATCGATTATAATTGATTATAAACCATTATTTTTATTCAAATTTCTATTTCATTAATTTTGCACAAAAATCCATTATAATCGATTATAATTGGCTATAATCCCTTTTGTTTGTCCATTTTTGTCTTCGAAGTTGCATCTAAATTGTTTATATTTTATGCTTTTTGTGGACGTTGGATCCAATGAAAAATAAGAAAAATATTTTTAAAGTTTTCCAATTAATTCAAATTTATAAGTTTTTTTTTTCATTTCTTCTCCATTAGAGTTGTTTTGCGATGCATATTTTAAGCTTTTTTAAACACCAAAACATCAGCAAATTGATTTAGTTTCATGATTGATTCGGAAAGTTTATTTTTCATCTACCGCGAGAACCTTTCCACTTATATGAAAGGATCTCTATGAAACTTTTGTTTCGTGGTAAAACTTTGTGTTCAAATGAACCAAAGTTTTCAAGAGATCTCTCTTTTAGAGATTTTTTTATTGACACAAAAATAATAACCCATAAGATATAATTCGAAAAAAGAAAAATTTCGGCAAATTAAGAGATTACAATCGATTATAATCGATTATAATTGATGTTAAGGGTTTTTAGTAAGAACTATAATCAATTATAATCAATTATAATCGATTATCAAAGTTTATAATCTCTTGGAAAATATCACGATTATAATCAATTATAAATCCCTTAAAGACCTAAATTTGGTAATTATAATGGATTATAATTGTCAAAAAAACATCATAATAATCCGTTATAATCAATTATTTACGCCTAAACTTGGATGCGGGTGCCTTTTAAGGTCTATTGAGCAGTAATAACATAAAACAAATTAAATGTAATAAAATAAAATAAAATATCTTTTAAAAAAATGAGATTTTTGTTTAAATCATCCCCCACACGCCATATAAATTACAAAGTGATAAATTTAGCTCCCATTAACAAATCAATTTGGCAAATAAGGTTCCTTTAACCAGTTTGGAACGATTTCAAGACGGATTAAATCTCTGCCTACGCGTTAATAGCGCGAAATATATCGCGCGTTAGTTGTCCCACTTTGCCCGAAATTGCGATCTTTAAATCCCCGCAAGTTTGCGAAAAGTGATCACAGGTGAAATATCTTTTTAAAATTAAGCTCAGGACAACAATAGCTTTCGATTGATGTAAAAAACGTCCCTCAAAAATGGCTAGTTAAAACGTCGAAATTTGTCTGAAGAAAAAAAACCCACCCCGAGCACAAATATTCCGTCACTTTCGCATCGAAAGTCCACTTTAATCCATCAACTCACGTTCAACTCACTATTCATCCTCGTCCAGCGAAATCAAACGTAGCATGTTGAGACCAATAAAAACTCAACCACAGAGTAACCAATTAGGTCCCTCATGTCAACAAAAACGTTTTGAAAGCAAGCCAACAAGACTGCTCGTATCAGGGCGAAGCCCTGAATGTTCCGACTGCCTTTTAAGTTTTATGGAGCAGCAGTAATAACATAAAAAAATTAAATGAAATAAAATAAAATGAAAAATTTTTTTTTCTAAAATTTGAAAAATTTTATGAAAATCATCCCCCCACACGCCATATAAAGTACAAAAAGAGAGATTTCGTTCCTTGTAACAAATCAATTATGGCAAATAAGCTTCGTTCAACCAATTTGGAACGATTTAAAAGACGGATTAAATCTCCGCTTACGCGTTAATAGCGCGAATTATATCGCGCGTTAATTGTCCCAAATTGGTCAAAATGGCCAAAATGGTAATTTTTAAACCCTCATAACTTTACGAAAAATAATCACAGGTGAAATATCTTTTCAAATTTGAGCTCAGGACAACAATACCTTTTGAATGATATAAAAAATTCCGTCAAAAATGGCTAGTTAAAAAGTCGAAATTTGTCTGAAGAAAAAAAAAAACCCACCCCGAGCACAAATATTCCGTCACTTTCGTATCGAAAGTCGGAACAAAAAGTCTCCACCACTTCAATCGGAGAAGTTTTGCATTCAAGCCTGGCTTAACAAATGTAAAAATCATCTGTTGTTATTATCTGCCGATCCATAGAACAGAAAAGTTAAAACAATATTCCCGCTGCTTAAACCAGACAAAGCAGATGAAAGCTGGAGGCCGATTGCATTTATAGTCCGAAATGTAAAACTGGTTAAATTTTTTTGATATATAAGTTTATCATCATAAAAACGCCAAATAAGTTTTCAAAACAGAGCTTTAACCATCTCTAAATGTTTTTAAAGATAGTAATTCTTCTAATTTTTCATCGTAGTGTTTCTGACTTCATAGCGATCCCAACGCTTCTGGCATCCCTTGATCTCACTAAAGCATTCAATAGTGTTGGTCATGAAATCATACAGCAAAACTTGCAAATTCGCTACTTATATCCCAAAAAATGCAACAAGTGGGTCAACCCATGCCTGCAAAAACGGGCTACTTTAGCTGGGCTTAGAGTTAAAAACTCTAACATCCAACGTCTGAAAAAATGTCTCAAGTAGGAGTGTTTTACTGTAACATGTCTGTCTTGACCCTACCAGCAATAAACCAAAAAGCAAAATCGGAATTTACTCGAATAATATCACGATTACTACGAAAAGCACAAAGCACTCACATATCGAAACGCAAAACAACCGTTTATTTGTTCCTAAATGATCTTTACCACTAAATAGAAAACGAAAATCAGAAACTGCCAGTTGATAAACTCACAGGGATTATAGAGCTGAAATACGAAATCATCATGGATAAAAAAAAATGTAAACACAATCTGCACACACAAAATCATAGATCGTACTTTTTATTTTTTTCTACTTAATTTGTAGTATTAATAGAAAAAAAAGTAAAGAAATACATTACTCGGAAATTTTCTTGGCACCGACTGTTGGTGCAGCTTAGAAACACTTTATGCTACATACCAAGTCATCGGGCGCAGCTTTCTCTGTTTTGCAAACTCAGGTTGGTTTTCATTACTTAGTAATAACATATGGAATAATTTCCAGGTTCAACAGAAATTGAAATTATTCATCAACATCAAAGAGTGTATCATCGCACGACTCTTTTGAACTGCAATTCTAAAAAACCTAAGCCCGCTTTAGAATAAAAACATCATAGCGACATGAATAGACTCTAGGGAAAAATATATCTCATCATCTAATGAGAAGTTTGCTTTAAAAGCTATTCAACAGACAAAAGTTTCTTTTTCTAAACAGCCTAATTGCAAACATTAGAGGTTAAATGAACCACACCGTAGTGCAAAATGAAAATAGTTTTCCTCGTCTTTTGTATGCTTACTTGCACAGCTGCGAACGCATGCATTAAGCACCCTTAGTTACTTGTCAAGTTTTAAAAGTCGTCGGCAGCGGTACAGCCTGTCAGACACCAACAACGTTTGTTCAACTGTTGTCAGGGAACTTATGACGTAGTATATCTGTTCAACAGCTGGGTCAAACCAACAACAATAACAATAGACGACTGTGGGACCACCTTGTCGAAGTCTCGAAATCGCTACAGTGCTAACATCTTAATCTAGACAGTAGGGGTTTCCGATTTCCCAGAAGCAAAGCCTGCTCCCTGGCCAATGATCATTCGCAAACTTACATTAGGAGTTTTTTATCCGCTCTAATTAAAAATTACTCTCCATAACAAAATTCAAAAATTCACCCTATTTTTTTAAACAAAAACGGCTCCCCCAGAGTAATTAACTCAAGACTCAAAAAAGGTTTTTGCTCTTAGCGAGCCTTGGAAGTGCCAAAGTCACTAACTAAAGACGCTCAAATCAATTTCCACAGCTGACAGTTAAGGAAAGTCAAAGTTGAGCAGAGGTGTAGGAGGTGCAGAATTATGTGAGAAGCTGCTACATCGAACACGACAACAAAAAGCCTTGTAATGCAAACACTTTTAAGAAGTGAGTGCTTGTGCTTGTTAGGCAATTGCTTGTTTGTCAATTGCTTGTTTAGCAATTAATTGGCAATTGAACTCTCCGTATGCGGGAAAAATTCCTACAAAACTTTACGTAAGTTTTTAAGAAACAAAATTGCTTGCTTCAGCCTTTTGCAATAAAAATTTAAATTAAAAAAAGATGAAAAAAAAAACAATTTTTTCTTTTTAATAAATCTGCCCACAAAGAGCTTCAAGTACAAAACGATGAAGTTTCCATTTTTTACTGCAATACTTGGATCAATTAACTTGCCTTCATTCTTGTTGGTCACTATTTCAAAGCGAAATTAATTATTTTCCTAATACGAGAATTATTTAACCCAACTGGCTCAAATTCAATCACTCACAACTTCACTTAGTTCTGTCGCATATAGAATTACCTTTTCAGCTTTGGGCTGGGAAGCCTCGGAATCTTATTTAAAAAAGTTCTCCAAATTTTTAGTAATATGCTGGTTACAAAGTCGAAAAATGATCAACGCAATTACAAATAATTTGTCGGTTCCTCTGGAAATTGGATTTAAAAAGTAGCTTGTAGATTGTGACAAGGTTGCTTTGTTGTTTATTTGATTTTTGGGGTTCATTTTATGGTTAAAATTTCTTAGCCCTAACCTTATTGGATTTTTTTAGTGCCTGAATCGAGAAATGCAATTGAAAATAACTGAAAACATTGTCATAATTTCAGTTCTTAATAAAAGAACCATAAGTGAAGTAATTGAAAGTGTTTTAGAAAGTTTTGCTTTCGTTTAGCTCTCAATGGACTTTTTTGGGAAAATAATTTGTTGAAATTTGTTTTTTTAATTAGTTCTCTGCATGTAATGATGTCTCACCTCGTACTGGTTTGAAGTGGAGGTTGATCCAGCCGAGCAGAGGGGGGAAGGCGACTAGGGCGGAGCAGCCCCAAGCGGCCAGGATGGCGACCAGTGCGACTGGGGGAGTGCGCAGCTGGGCATACCAGAGGGGTCTGGAGATGGCCAAGTAGCGGTCGATTCCTACAACACTCCTCACAACATTAAAATATTCAAACATTTCAAAACGACTTTCAATATTAATTTATTGATGGTTGTCTTTTTATTACAATTTATTCTTTTTTACATTTTATTTTGCTGTAATGACTTATCCGAATATTTTTCCTCTAGAAGAGCTGACTTTTTTTCTGAGGAGCCATTCGTGTACCATGGTTAAAATACATGCATTTGTTTGTTTTGTTTTTCTGGGCTGCGTAATTTTGCGTCACCCTCGCAATTAACAAGCGTATTTTGGTGGTCCTAGAACAACCGACCTTTCGATTGAGGGGAGAGAGCTTCGCCCGCCTCCCTCTTTATCACAGTTCGCTCGCTAGTGTTTAAGAAGCAACTCACTACAAACAATTTTAACCCTAACTATCTCTTCTCCGGTCAAGGTCTTGGAGATGAAAAAAACAAGCCAAAAAGGGGCGTTTTTAGCGCTTTTCGGAAAACGTTGACCAAAAAATCTTGTTCGCGCTCCCTCCTCAAACTTAAAATATATTGGCGCCAAAAGCGCCTTTAGAAAAACTTTAGGGCTACCTGCCGACCCCCTGCCGACCTAAAAGGTCCCCCCTTTGATACTACTTTTTAAGAAATCCAGTTTTGGACGACCAACCCTAAAATTTTTCTAAAGCGCGCCGAAAAAACGCGATTTTTTGGTCAAACTGTTTAAAAAGTGCCTAAAAATGCTTTTTTGGACTGTTTTTTCAAAATTTTGCCTGCGGCGCAGAAAATTTGGCTAAAGCAAGAACTAAACCGTAAACCGAGCTTAGGGAAAGCTCGAAAAATCAATTCTGTCGACCTAAAAAAAAGTCGACAAATTTTCAACATTTTTTTGAAAATCCAACACCCCCCCCCCCCCCTCGAGAAAATCCTAGATCCGCCCCTGGTTACAGATCATAAATTTCGGAAAACCAGGTTGTTAGCTTTGAACAAACTGTAAGCTTCTACTCATGCAGCGAGTGGAAATTTTTCTGAATAATCTGAAGATCTCTTGTAACTGAAATAATTTAACGACAATTAAAAGCAAATGTAGCAAACGGTTTTCGAGTTCTGTCAGCAGATTTTGACCCCCAAAATTTCTCAAAAACTTCAACTTTTTTCATGAATTCCCTTGTCCGGAAATAACAATTCTCATTAATTTTCAGAGAACTGGCTATATTTTCTACGGCACATCTTCAAGGAGCAACATTATCGGAAAAAACCAGAAATATAAACTTTTTGTTAAAGCTAGTTTCATTCAAACAAAGTTAGTTCAAGATCAATTTCCTTTCAAGTAGCATTATTCCCATATTTAAGATGCATAGGGCAAATTTTTCACCCTTGGGGTTCACAGAGTGGTAATAATTGCATTGTTATGTGAATACTAAGATCACAAAATGTTAACAAACTAAAATTAATTCTATTTTAAAAGACTATTTTTATAAGGACTATTTTATAAGGACTATTTCTATAAGACCTCATATTAGGTTTGAATAATTAATTTGAGCTAGTCTTCCTTCCTTGTCTCAACAGAGATGATCTGCCTTTTTAAAATCGTATTTCGAATCTCTGATGCAAGAAGTTGTGTTCATTGTTTTCAGGGCACAACTTCGCCATTTCGCTGAGTTGAACGATTTCTCTCGAGGATAAAAATAACCGGATAAAGTTCAAAAATGTAATTTTTACTATGGTTTAATGTGAGGTAGTTTTCGACTTTTTCGACCATTTATTCAATGTTAAAAATGTATGCGCGTTCCCCAAATTACAATTGTCCTATCTACATTGTGTAGTCAGAACGAAAACGGAGTTGTTAAATCTGGAACCTCAGAAGCTCATTATCACTACAAAATAGATTGATTCTCTGGATTGGCTCGATTTTTTAAAAATAAAACATAGGCAAAAACCCCCAGGTTGACAAAAAAATGCTTATCATACTCTTTCATACAGTTTCATAGAGCATAATATGAAATGGTATGAAAAGCATTTTTTCCATACTATGAAATTGTATGATAAGCATTTTTTCCATAAATGAAAATACAAAAAATTTTTGCTTCGAAATTTTGTCTTTCAACCGAAACACTAACTAAGGATTTTTTGTCATAAGAAAACCCAGAGTGTAACTGTTTTTGTTGATTTTTAAAAATTTTATTTTTTCTATGACAAAATGTCTATCTTATAATTTTCATACATGAAAATTGTATGATCAGCATTTTTTATCAAAAATTTTTAATCATTTTTAATGACCAGAAAGCTTCAAAAGAAACAATTAGACCAAAATTGTTCATTAAAAATGTTTAAAACACTTTTGAAATTTTGTATGAATTTTCTATGAGCTGCATTTTTTCCATAGACTTCATATATGAAACTGTATGATAAGCATTTTTCTTCTATGGACGTTAACCCGGGCCACTAGATTGAGTTGCAAGCAGATTTTTAGATCCAAAAAAGATTGACCATTTCTAGGCAAAACCCTATACGTTCCAAATGAATGCCCTGTAAAGTCCATTAAATAATTTGCAATTTCAAAAAATTAAGAATTGATAACTTTTTTGGACTTTTTTTTCTTTTTTTTTCGAAAGTCTAAGATAAAAAAGTAATCTAAAAGCAAGTACAGTGTGCTATTTATTTCGGACCTACTTGCATATCAGTTGAATTGAAAAAATTGCCTCAATTCGTTTTCAAATTATTTCTGTGCTGGACTTACTCTGAGAAAGTAGAAAAAAATGAGTTTTTGTGAAAAAAATGAACAAAACATAAGCTTGTTTCTTGATTCAGTTGAAGAGACACAGTAAGAAGAAATTTGTTACGCAATTTTTTTAGCTGGAAGTTTGGCCAAAAATATGAGCCAGTAATTTTAAATCAACCAAAAAAAAAATTTGGTTGATCGAAATTTAAAACATTGGATTAAATCTGTTACACTCAATTTGGTCCAATTGGCAGTAGCGGATTTAGGGGGGACGCCTTTTTTCCTCAGGGATTCGAACTCCTTCTGACTAAAAAGTTCCCCCTTTGTAATAATTTGAGATATCAATTTTTGGTGACGGACCCTAAAAATTGTCTAAAGGTGCCTTGGGCGCCAATTTTTACTAAAATTGAGGGGAAGCGCGAGCCGAAAAAACGCAATTTTTGGTCAAAATTTTCCAAAAAGTGTCTAAAAACGCTTTTTTAGACTGTTTTTTCAAACCTTTGCCTGCGGCGCAGAAAATGTGGTAAAAAATGGGGTCTTTATAGTGATTTAGAGCTCAGATAATCAGTTTGGTCGCCCCAAAAAAAGGTCGACAAAATTTTTGAATTTTTTTGAAAATCCGCCCCCCCCCCGTGAAAATCCTAGATCCGCTCCTGCCAATTGGTACAAACAGGTAGTGTTAAAAATTTGGGAATTGTGTTTTAGCATGCGCGTCGAATATCATCATTAAATTTTTTTGCACACCTAGTTTTTGAAGTTCAAAACACCGCAGTAGTAAAAATTATTAACCCTCTAATGGCTTTAAAGTTTTATCAAAGAGTTTTAAAACCGTAATGGCTTGAACCGAACATTTATACTGCCTAAATAGTGACCAGACCACACTCACATATCATGGCGGCCGAGCTCTTATAACTCGAGCTCAAGTTTTGGTTTGGAGCTTCATCTTTTTCCACTAGCACTGCTTGTTACTTGCCAATACCGTGTTCAAATCAATGACGGCATGAAGGTAGATCAAAGAGAAAAATTCCAGTTTTTAATCAGCTCACATGCAAACTGCTACGCCTAAGCATATTATTTTACGTCTATTTACGTCAACCTGTTTTTTTTCCACCAAAAATGTTCACTTTGTCAATTATCCTCAAAATTGCTGTCCAGTTTTGTGTTCAACAACTAGAAAGAATTGCTGTAAAAAATATCATTTTTTCTGAGGGGATAAAAACCATCGTGATCATAGTTCCTTCCCACTCGTGATTGCAGCAAAAAGTATAATCATTCGAAAATGTAAGGCATTTGAGATTTAAGTTTTGCTGCTTCATATTGAAAGGCTGATATCTTTTAGCTCCAAAACAATAGTTTCAAATGTTATCAAACTTTACTATGTCTACGCGCACCAACAGTTACATTTTCTTAGAAAAACATTGTTTAATCATTTTTATCATTGTTTGATAAAATATTAAGCTTTTACTGAGGACGGAAAAGCTGGCAGCTAAATAATTGAGGTTTTTGTTCCTCTAAATAACTGCAATAAAATGTAAACTTTAACAGTTTGGAAGTTTCAACAATTTCTTGCAACATCAATTTGCTGTGTCTTTTTAATTATTTAAGTCTATTACAAATTTTTTGGCAATACTTGTTATTAGCTCGAGTAGTTAGCTAAAATACACATAGCACAGAAAACAGTTATCTATTTGGGTCAAACGACTATACAAGGCTATCGATTTTTTTTCTAAATAAGATCTTTCGGAGTGTTTTGGGAGCTCTCGAAAAACAAACTTGGTTGACCTAGAAAACTGTTGACCGAAATTTCAAGTCTTTATTTGAGAGCCGACCTTTTGAAAGGTTTTTAGATCCGCTCATGGTAGTAACAAATTTGAACACTCAAAACTTTCGCGAAAATTAAAAATATGCAATTTGCGGTGTGCTAAAAGAAAAGGAGAAATTTGGTAAATTGAATACTTGAAAAAATTACCAATCAAACACATGTTTAGAATGCTTGCAGTGCACAAGAACACATCCATCACGATCCACATGTAGCAGAGTGTTTTGTTGAGGGGCCAGTACTGCAGCACTTCATACACCACCCCCTGGCTCATGACGAGAAGAGCGGTCAACAGGTCAGCCACTGCCAGAGATGCCAGCGGGTAGTTCTGCACATGCTGCAGACACTTCTCAGTGAAGATTGCCCGGATGACGAGACTGTTTCCCACAGTCGTGGCCACGATGATCAGGGGGAGAAATAAAAGAGCAAAGGAGAGCAGAGGCTGGCCGAGGGGACGCATGTACAACAAGGGCTGTTCCGAAGTGGTCGTCGAATTCATCGTCGCTTGTACGAAATTTTTAATTCTTGATTGGTTTTGTTCTCTCTCAATTTGAAGTTGAAGGAGGGTCAATTAATCAACTTACTCACAATAGTTATAGTCTTTATATTTTATACTTTTTGATTTATTCTGATAGGTTTCTCTCTCTCATTTTGGAGTTAGAAAGGATATTCGATTAATAATTTGAATAATTACGACACTCGTAAGTGGACTGAGTAGCAATTGTAGACGAAGGATAGCGGAAAGGGGGAGGGGGGAGGAAGTGGAGTGAAATCTGACCCCAGGTGTAAATTGAGACGAAGAGAGGGGAACTGAAAGCAATTAAAGACGGAATTGAACCAATTTTTCGATAAAATTAACAAAAATGAGCGGAAACTGAATTGACAGCAAATGTAAGTAAATTGGAGTTCAGATTTCTCCTACCCCCAACTCTCAATTAATTGAAATAAAACTAATGTACACGCTCAATTAAACTCAGGTATAAGGTGACCAATTATTGACACAGAACTTCAACAGTAAGATAACCTGAAAAAAATATACTCTTAACGAAGATCATTTCCCCTAGTCGATTTCTATATTTAAACTAGTTTTGAAAATCAAGAATTCCCGGCACTCCAAACCGGTCGCTTTGATGCTACGCTCTTTTTTTTTCACTCTAAGGCTTGTGGATTGCTTTTATAGATTTAAATGACGTAATCACGAAGTTTACGGAAGCTGTAGGCGGAACAGCAATATCCGACAAATCGAAATAATTATATTTACTGATAACGCGATGATCTTTGAACAGCAGTTGTTAATTTGTGAAAATTTAGATTTCAGTTGCAAGTTGCAAAAAAAGTGTGTTGCCAACTTCCAATAAATTAACAATGATTATTTGTTTATAATGAATGATATTCTTACAAAAAAAGGTATAAAAGCGGTTCTTGGGGGCAAATTGTTAGCTGTTTGTTAAGTATTAAGAGTTTTTAAGCCATGCAAAAAGTGTGATAATTTCAGAATTTTTCTGCAGAAAAAAAACGGAAGCTTTATTTTTGACCACGTTCTTAAGCATGCACAAATCTGATTTACAAAAAGCAAAAAAAATTGATTAATTTCATAGTTATTTGCAAACGAGGGAACTATCTTGCAAGCTTATCTGCTCATGACAGTTCCCTATAGCCTGACTTGTTATTAAATATTCGCAAAAAAGGACAAACCTGGACAATTGTAAGAGTGCAGACTTAAAAAGGAAAAACCAACAACCATTTTTCTTCCGATACTGAGGAGATTAAGAAGTCTGTGATGAAACTTTTTTAAACCTGACTTGGTTCAATTCCAATGAGATTAAAAACCTATAGCGTTTTCAATAACATTTGATTGACGAAGTTATCGTGCAGTCTTCAGGAAAATTAAAAAAAATGACAGTATAAATTTATAAAGTTGTATGATTTTAGCAATCAGATATTATTGAAAACTTAACCTAGGGCTTTAATTTAATTTTAAAAAATATGTCAGAAAGAAAGTTTCTGCTTTTTGGAGAGGTTAGAGTGGGATTTTGTTGATTTAAAATTTCGTAATTATTTCAATATAACCTTAGTAAAAACGCATTACTGTTTTTACTGTAATATCTTATAATATTTAGCTTTATTTGGGTTCTGCCTGCGATCTGTGTTTTTTCAGAGTGAAATTACTAACAGATCTTGAAAACTTGTCACAGATTTTGAAGACCTTTTCATTAACCTTTTTGCAGCATTTTGAAGACCTTTTCATTAACCTTTTTTCAGTTTTTTGATCGTTTGAAAGTACTTTTTTTTCGATTTCAACGGTTTTGTATGATACTACATCGTCTTAGAAACCCTATTGCAATTGAAAAGGGATGAGATTTTCTACGTGTTTGTCGGGTGTGGTTTGAGAGGGACTCACGTTTTTAGAATTTCAACACTAAATTTTTCAATGCCTTTTTTTAGCACTACGGGTATTTCACAAAGTATTACACTCAAAATTGTTCAATTTATTTTATTTTCACCTTTGTTAAATTGATTGGGACATTTTAACAAGACGATTTTTCTATTTCATGCTCTCAGAAATTTTCAATACCGTGAGCAAAGTTTCTTTTAGTGACAAAACGTTTATTTTTTAACTAAAAACACTGACTCTTTGCGTACAAATTAAAAAAAAATACCTGCTTGAAGTTTTCGTAAAGTTTTGAGGGTTTTGAAAAGTTAAAATTGCCATTTTGTGTTCATTAATAAGGGTTTTATCCCTTTATTTATAATGCTATAATGCATAATACTGGAATGCAGATCCTTAGAATCACGTATTCGAGGACCGCCCTATTAGCATGTGTGCCTATTAGCATAACCATTTAGAATATTGCAGTTGACTCGCTCGATATTTCAAAATTTGCTTTCTGAAACTTGTTTGCTCAAAAAAGAGCGTGGAGTTAGCCGAATAATCAGTAAGTTGAAAAAGGAGATAAAAATTACCGAACAAATCTATTGATTTTTAAGATTTTGGAACCTGATCTAAACTATATTTTATGATTGGATAAATTGGATATTTTACCACTGTAAAGTATTTAATATTAACCAATCATAATCCATCTAACTAACAACCCACTTATTATTAAGTGCTGAAATTACTTGTAATTTCAGCACCAGAGAGATTTGAATTTAACTTAGAAATTAGTTGCCTCTCCAAGAGAACTTCAGCAGCCGCAACAAACCAGTATACACTAGATCTATTGAGCCTAGCAGAGACTAGTTAAACACGCTGAGACTAGAAAGTATAAGAGTAAGATTAGGATCGGTATTAGACTAAGAAGTTGCACGAATCTATCCGGCCGAAAATAAGATAGCGTGACGAGCAGACGGTGTACCCTATCCGAAATTACTCTATGAGTTAACCACATCGGTTCTAACTCATCTGGTGCAACCATAAGTCTCGAATAAGACCTTAATAGCTTAGAACTAACCAAAAATAGATTAGAATTTAGACAAAACATTTTCAAAATGTTATACGATAATAATTTAATCGAAATGTCTCTACGACTCAATAGATCAGAGCCGATATTCCGAACAATAATAGAACTACCCGGAATTGGAAGAAGAACTCGAACAAGAGACGACATACGACAAAGTAGAAACTTACCAAACAGTTTTATGATTGTACGGCAAAAGCCAACACAAACTTTTTTATTTAGAATCTTATTAGCAATGAATTTAGATTTTCATCTGCAAACATAAAATTTTGAAGTCGATCTCCATGATCATTTCAGGCGCTAAGCAAAATTATTAATGTACAACCACGATTGATAAAAAGATCTCAGATCGTTTTCTTAATTTCTGCAGTCTTATATAAAACATATTTGAAAAATATTTATTGAAAATGAAAACAAAAATTATTAGCATGACAATAAATTGTTAGTAATCATAAATCATCTGTTGTCCCAGCTTCATCATCTAAACATAACAGCAATCATAAGCTCACTAATATCATTAAAATACTAAATCTTTTTATTAAATAAATTTAAACCATTTTAAACCTAAATTCACTTAATTTTAAAACCAGATCATCAAGGCTTATCCTTGGATCTTAATTAATTTTCTATTTCACTAAAATTAAAACCTGATCATCAAGGCCTATCCTTGGATCAAAAAGAACAATTTTGTTCTCCCCCACCCACTTAGCAAGTGTCTAACGACCTCAAACGTCGATTCACTATCCAACCCTTCAAAAAGACCCAAGATTAATAGAAATTTTTAAATAAAACTAACCATTCAAATTAAGATAAACAGTGAAGAACTCCGGTTATTCATCCTTCACTTGAACCCTCCTCTTACCAGACCCAGGGTAGATCTTAGACTTAGTAAGTTTAAAATAGTATCTAACGAACTACTTGCGTTCTACTAACAGTCTTAGAAAATAAAAATACCTGACAAATTTTGCATCCCTCATCCTAAACCTTATGTCATTCAAAAATCTAGGAAATAAGCAAACAATCGTTTTACACAACTGTGAGATAGATAACAAAAAATACGATCTTGTAATCACACCTCAGTTGGATACACAAACAGTTGGATACATTAGAACAAAACGACAAACAATAAAAAGAAAAATTATAAACAAACAAAGACAAATCACACGAAAAAGACTTTCAAAAAATAGAAACGCATTTTCCGAATCAGAAACCAGCAGTTTAGATGAACTCTACAAATTAAAAGAATCAATTGATAAAAATTGTCCCATTCACGATCAATTATATTTTTCCGATTCAGAAACAACTTCAAATTCATCAAAAAGAGGAAAAAGAAGAATAAAAATGCAATTCAAACACAAACCGGTACACCTGTATAACTGGAATCAACCAATTAGACACATTGATAGCTATATATTAACAGTCATCAAACAAAAAAATGAGCCACACTCAAAGTGACGATAGTCCAGATGACGAAGAGGTTTACCCCTTCCTCATAGATGCACCCGATAATAGAGGGCAGCATGATTTTTCCAAAAAGTTACTCGTAAATTTGTTTGAACCCGGAATCAGTCCATGCAAAGCAGAATTCCCAGATATAAAAATCAAAAGACAAATCATTGAACATTATTTAAAAGACATATGTAACTTAACACAACAATATGGAATCTACACCATAGAATTCAGCACACCAAATACGAATCATCGTAAATATGTAATTCAAACAGACGATCTTGAATTAGAATTTTCAAAAGTATTCCTAGAATATATCAAAAGCATACAATATCACAATTCACAAAGAGCAAACTCTATATTCACTAATGAAGTTTTTGCAATAATATATACCTATATCTCTATATTAGAAAAAACAGAACTTCAAAGTATCTCACCAACTGAAACATCCAAACATACAAAAGTACGAAATGAAATTGCATTATTTTCAACTTTTCTACATATAATCAAAGAAAATTTCACTAAAGAACATCATCACTACACACAAAACATGACTTACAAAAAATTTTGGCATGGTTTATAAAAGACTATTTCACACATAATTTAGACTTAATTTCACAAGCAAGAAAAAATTTCAGACCTCAAAATTCAAATGATGACACTGCCATTACAGAACAATCAGACTACGTTTGGGACTCTGAATGGTCTCATCCTTCATTTATAAATATCCCACAATCTATCTCAAGTCAAGCAATAAGTACAATATCTTATCACAGAGATTATGTAAAAGTAATACCACTAACCATTGACGCAACACCAATAAACTACAATACATTTTTACCAGATACACGAAATAACAGTTTAAATTCGACCATCATACACAATGAAAACCTTAATGGAACTAGAAATCTTACACAACAAGATATTCAAACACCATCACACTTCATAAATGAAGAAATTGTCCAAACAACAACAACTACACAACAAAGTATTTCACCAATACACCCAAATTTAACAACACCAAGAAATACAAATACTTCACTGGCACAAGTAACCTTACAATCAACCGTTAAACCTTCGGTTGCTCCAAAATATTCACATATGGATTATCAAACAT